TCATGTTAGATTGATAACCTGGAGGGACTGCCCTGGACCTTTTTGAAAGAAAAGAAATGATCCTTTTCCTCCTTGAAATATTCACTGGAAGAGTGTTAAAACTTTTTTTTTTGCGAGTAATTTTAAAGAACGAAATATCCAAACATCCATCCATTTTCTACCCGTGTTATCCAGTACAGGGTGGTGGGGGAGCCGGAGCCTTTCCAAGCAAGCAATAAGCACAGGGCAAGATACACCCTGGATGGGACGCCAGTCCACTGTAGGGCTGACTCACAGACACGTGCATGCTCACAACGGCGCCAATTTCCCCAAAAGCCAGTTAACCTCTGGTATGTTTTTGGACTGTGGGAGGAAACCAGGGCACCCTGGGGCAACCCATGCAAACACAGGGAGAACATACAAACTCCATACTGAGAACACTCCAGGTTCAGAATTAAATAATATCACTAATTATATCGATTTTTATGATGTACTGCTTAAACATAGCTTTGGAGCTTTTTTTCAGTTTCGAAGCTAATTTTGCAAACGTTGTGATAAGGAACACCATGACTATCATGATTGTCTATCAGTTTTCTATCATTTTGGGGGGGATCCAAATTAAGTCAGTATTTTCTTTTTCTGAACCTGCACTGTCATAAATGGCTCTAATTCTTGCATATTTTAGAGGATGTTGTTCTGTTGGGGGGGAAAAAACTGCTGTCTTTTTGGCTAAGTTGAATTTGTGTGACCTATGCACAGCCCTAGTGTGAGCACCGCGGACATGCAGGTGTTGTCCTGATGGGTGCAGAGAGTTCTGTGGGGTGACCATGACAGGACCGTTTTCTTGCCTGTGTGTTGCCTCAGGTGCAGGATGTGCAGCATATGAAAGAGACGACGCTGGCCAGCAATCGCAGCCTTGCAGAACAGAACCTCATGCACCAGCCCAAACTGGAGTGCCTGAAGATGCAGTTAACCAAGAAATATCAGGAGCTCCAGGACTGCTTTGAGGCACATCAGATGAAGACGTCCAAGCTAGGTAACAGTGCTGCATTTTTATTGTCATTGCCTCGGTCATAGAAGAAGGGGAAACATTTCCAAAACTTTGTTTTGAAGCAAGGTTGTTTTTTCTTCCTACTGGATCCTTAAGTTAAAAAAAAAAACAGAATTTATAACTTAAACAATGGTCACTCTTCCCAGGTTTAAGACTAATGGTATTTGAAAGAGTTTCCGACAGCCTGTTGGATTATGGGAGAGGTTTTAAAGGGTTACACGTTTACTTTGCAGTGGTTTATGCAAAGCTGTTTGGAACTGAAAGCTGTTTGAGAACAGACTCAAACAAGGTGGGGGAGATTAAACATTGTAGAAGAAAGAAGATTAATCGGGAGTGAGACAGCTGAAATTCTAATATTGTCATGTGACTGAGGCCATGACTGGATTCTGCTTCTCTTCTGGCTGCTGTAGTCAGTGTTGAATGTTTCCCAAGGCTAGTTTCTCTTACTAGACCGGTTTGGCCAGTTTTTGTTGTGGCCTCCAATGTAAAACCACACTAGCACTGTCCTTGCTCGTACCTGTGACTAGGGTGGCTGCACTAGAGGGCAGGTTGGGCTATACCTAAGCAAGCTGACGTAGCTCTCAGTGCTCTGTTACAGACTTTGTTGGATCAGTATTTTGTTTCTATGCAAGGGCTTTATTCCTGGAGTCACCTCAGGAAGTACAGGTAGTCCAGCGTTAGTGTTATTTACACCACACCTCTCTGGCACACTGTCAAGTGTAGGTGCTGCTTAGTCATGTGATACAGGGGTTGCTAGGCAACCTGCTAGACAATACCAAGTGTCTAATATCAGCTCAATCTCTCCCCTTTGATTAATTTGTATATTATAATATTATGGCACAGCTCACATTGCATGATAATTAATAGATGTTTTCTAACTTGGGGTAAAACAGTAAGAGCCACAGTTTTCTAAGATTTTTCTAACCACAAATTCTCTGGATTTTTTCTACCTCACTGTTAAAATAAGGGCCATAAACTGAGATAGAAGTTCACAGGCTAAAACATTATTAACACTATAGAATCGTCTGTGTGTCAGCTTATGTCTGGATGATTCTATCTTGCAAGATGTTAAGTATTACAGGACAGCTAACAATGCATTCTCTATCAGTTTTATTTTACCCAATAAATCCCATTTTCTCATTTGTTGACTTTTCTCGGTGGTAGTGTTTTCTTAATCCAGACCTCATGATTCTCAGCTCTTCCAGCGTATCAGCATAGTTCTTCTCTTTCACATAACAGCTCGTTGGGTGGGTCCAAACTTTTCTTCCCAAAGGCAAGAGCTGAACTTCACATTCTATTCAGTACTCAATAAACAGACAGGTTAATAGCAACTTTTTATTTAACAGATTAATAGCAATTTATTTCTAGGGAGGGTGAGAGATTGCTGTGGTTGAAATGTACAGTAGGTAACCCAGTTTCACTGTCCCATTGATGGATTTGTACTGTAACCGGAAACCCCGGCTGTTTCTCTCTGGCTGTCTGTGGGTGACCCAGCTGAATCAAATCTAGCCCTGCAGGCAGAGGGAAGCATTGTTCGATCTGAGTCATGGTGTTTGGGCTGCCTGTATCGCCCCGAAAATCCATCTCTATGGCAACGGCCATCTCATAAAACCCTCTTCTTGCACAGCAACAATGCAGGACACTTGAGTGACGAGGACAGCACTATACACCCGAGCGGCGGGCCCAGGGTTCATCAGAGAAACAGTGTTCCTTTGTACACGCTGTCTAAAGGCAGGACCAGCTGAGAAATTCGCCAGTCTTGGTCTTTCAGTGCCTGGCAAGCAGCCCCACCACGGTTAGCTAATATCCATCTTTTTTTATTTTCAGACAAATTTTTATTTTGGTTTTCCCCATACACAATAAAACAGTACAAAATAATTTCCCCGCACCATACTAATAACCCCTCATCCACTCCTTTTAGGGCTGGATTGTAATTTTCAGCCAAGGGACTGTAAAAGGACAGTCGGATAATTACAGTGGAACCCCCATCCAACAAGGCTTTGACTGCTGTATGTCAGCAGGACCCCCCAGTCCCACTATTCCCCAAATAGTTGTGCAGTACCCAGCTCATGTACCATGCCAAGCACTAGCAACTAATATTGAGAAAATATGTTTATGTGAGTTATGAGGGTGTAATTCTGAAACAAATATACGGAGAGCTGGAATCTGAAGGTTGCGTCGGTCGTTCATTTTCTTGGAACTTAATGATAGTTGATTAAAACCTCCATAAATATGGAGGCCCTGGTCAGGATAGGAGCTGAGCATATTTAAGGAAAATGTTTAAAAAAACTGTTGTTCCAAGATAAGCTGGAGTAGGTCAAGGAATCCTTTCTTCCGGTTTTGTTTCTTTAAATTATGTTTCCTTTCATGTGTTGTAAGTTTGAATGTTTGCCGTGTAGTAGTGCTCTGTAAGATAACCACTAACCGAAGAATTGGAACAAGAATTCTCTAGTTTGCATAAATCTTCGTAGCATAGTAAAACATGAATGAAACAAAATTGTAAATGCTCAGAATAGTATGCCATCTTACATTTTTGATCAATCCTATTGATGAACTGCAGAATCAGGAGAATCTGTGATTTGTAGAATTGATTTAAAGTGAACAGCTCTTCCTGTGCTCATACTGTACATTGAGCAATCTGGTAACTAGCTGGTAGTTATCAGCTAAAGCCTGATAACATTAGCTAACTTTCAAATACAGTATATGACCTTGAAGACAGGGAAAAAGTTCCTGTTAAAGATCACGTGAAATGTTGCTCAAACAAGGTACCTGTAAATGCCGGTATCACTTGGTTTAAAACAATTTCCAATGGCGTGCAACTTTCTGAATTTTAAATCTAATCTTAAAGTTTAGTAAATCACAAAATTGCTTCACATGCAATAACTTGAATTGTTTTCACTACTAGACCGTCAGTGGCACTTTTTATAGGTTATAAATTTGGCATTTTCAGGAGTGTCTCAGTAGTTTTCCCACAGTGTGGTGAAGTATGGTAGTTGTTAGAATTCCTGGGTGACCAAAGACAGTTGAATTGGGCGTCTGTGAAATGCTGTGCATAATGGCTATGGAGAGCTGGTTACATGAACCCTTTTATCAGACCATTAGGGTACAGGGGACTGAATGGGCTGGATCTGATGACTTTGCTTTCAACTTTTTTTTTTTAGTTTGAGTTACCATGGGCTAGCTTTGTACTGTCAGCACTATCTTAATTTATTCTTATATTACCTGGAAGTGACTCTTGGAAACAGCCTGTAAAAAGAACTACCTTAGGCAACAAAAAACACACTGCAGTCTAGTTTTATTGGTTTAGAATGGCAGGTGACTGTTGCTTTTCCCATGTCAGCTAGTAGAGTCGCCTACATTTCACCTACAGTGAGGTTCTGTAACTGATGAAGGTTTCATCCAGAACTTTAAGGGTATGCCATAACTGACCGGCTGAGGTCGCTTGGCCCACTGCCCTTGTGCAGCTCTCGGGGATCAGCCTGGGGTCAATCCGAGGCTGGACAGTCACATGTCATTAAAACACAGAGATCTAGACAGAAGCGGCAGTTGATCCCACAGTGCTGTTTCGACCAGCTGGGTGCTGTAGGTTAATTGTTCCTGCGCAGGCTCATTCCAAAGAGTTTTTTAGAGATAATCCACGCCCTTGGTGTCTTCTCTCTGCTGCTTGAAAGACTATTGATGTGGTGTTCTTGTCCTGTCTTTGTGAGTGCAGGGCGCAGTCAGATATTAACTGGTAATTTTCCACAGTCGCATCGTGAAACAATATTAAAACAATGTCACCCCTTCTTCGGGGCTAATGTGACTCAAAAGCACTGAACTGTGTTTCAAGTTGTGGAAGTACAACTCTCTGTATACCTGACCATCATTTTAATCAGATTTAGACACCTGTATTTAGGGAAAGTAAACATAGCTTTACACTTAAACATGTCAAGCAATTTAAAGTCTTTGTCATTATTACAAAGAATTAAAAAGAATGCGCTTTACCACATTGTGGTGTATTTATGTTATGTTATTACACGTTACTGTTATTGCTATTTTATCTATTTATATACTGCACCTGAGTGACTAATGAGAAACACTTTTCATTATACTATACACCTGTGTAAGTATAATGCCAATAAAGTTGAATTGAATTGAATTAACAATGCGTTAAAATAGAGTTCTGCTTTTTATGCCAGTATTGTCATACTGGTGTTATATATCAATTCTTTTAAATCCATGAGTCAACTGCTCCAGCCTCTCATCTGCTCCTCCAGTTTAGCTTGTGCAGAATACTGATGCCTCTATTTATGCAATGGCTGACTCATTTGACAGCTGATCCTTTTGTTCAGAGATACACGGGAGATCGAACCCAGTCTCGTAGCTTCTCACTCTATTGAAGTAGAACAGACTGTGGAAAGAAAAAACAGTTGTCTTTCTCAAGGGTGATGCACGTAAATCCTTTCGGGAAGAGCTGTGTAGCCCATATTTAGTGTTCCAACTGTCTACTTTTAATGTCTCTTTAAATCAGCCTTTGGACAAATCTGCTGACACAATAAAAATGTGCTAATTGTTAACACATTTGCACATAATGTCTCACCTGCTGAGTGTTATACCTCATCAATCCCTCAAACACAGTTTACCAGGGAATTTGTTCACTAGTTGAAGAGTCCATTCAACTCGCACCCCTGTCCTGTGCTTTACCTGCTGGTAGACGTGAATATGGTTGCAAGTTTACTTTTTCTAGCTGTTAAATGAGAGATTAAGAGAATTGTCCTTTCAATAGAATAAATGCTGCATGCAGGGTAGAACAATCACTTCTGCAATATTTAACATAATGCTAAAAAAATAACATATACCCAATAGGCTTTTCTAAATTAGGATCTAGTGAAGAAGCAGTGAGTGCATAAAGTAAATTCTTTTCAGTGGAATAAAGATGTATGTAGGATAGAACAACCACTTCTACAGTATTCAAAATTATGATAAAAATAACCCATACTTAATAGGCTTTGCTAAATTGGGATAAAGTGAAGAGGCAGTAATTGCTGATTCATTTTGCAAAGGGAGTTGTGTCATTGCAAAATAAATATGTGGAACACGAGCCTTATTATAAAGGTAGTGTAATTGTGAGCACACTGAAGCATTTATATATAGATAAGTCATCTCCCTCCTACACTACATGAGGAGGGTCTTGCCTGCATCCTTTCTCCTGTACCACTGCAGAGTCCTGCCTCTGTCCTGCCTGTCACAGCCAGGGGAAAGTGTGGTCAGGGTTTGAGTAGATAATTGACTGTCATGACCAGATTCTCATCCGCCTTGGAACAGCTCCGAGTGCCTCAATTACAGGTTACAACAGCTGAAGCCGTAATTAAAGGGTCTGAGTTTTTCAGAGCGACGGCCCGCAGTGGCTGGGCGAGATCTTCGGATCCGACAGCTCGCCCCCCCATGATGTGAATAACGTGCGTTCTCGTCCGGCTGTTTTCAGATAACCGTGCGGGCAGCGGATCGATCGACACGCTGCTGGCCCTCCTGCAGGCAGAGGGAGCCAAAATAGAGGAGGAGACGGAGGTGAGTGTGTGCCCTCTTCTTTATCAGCACCAAAGTCGTGTGCCCATCTTGGCCCAGAGAGTCAACCCTTTTAACCTCAAGGAGAATATCTGCAGAATTCTAACCACGGGAGCTCGTGTTAAGATTATACAGTGCATTAGTAAGTCTTTATTTAGATAAGTGGCACACAGTGTGGGTCATTAGTTTCTCCCTGAGACATTGCTTCTGAGGAGTCAGCTCAGTGAAGGGCTGTCTGCTTAATTTCTGGCCTTCAAGGAATGTCTCCTGCAGAAGGCGTAAAGGTACTGAATCTCTTCAGTTATGATCAAAGCAAAGCCAGAGGGGGGTCCGAACGCCTGAAATTAAAAGAAGGAACCCGTCCTCGACATTCAAACCCCCGAGTGGAACGAGGAACCAAGCTGAAATTAAGAGGAAGATGCTTTAGGAATGCTTGCTGGTTTGTGAATGCAGCGGTCGTGGGTGGTCGTGGGCCTATCGTGGGTGGATAGGCCCTTTTAGATTCCAGAGGACCTCATCAACCAACAAACAGCTGAAGGAGAAGCCTCGACTGTTCCTGATGTCTGGATGGAGGCTGTCCGGAGGCCCAGCAGAGACTCAAGGTTCACATCACCATGTAGCTGTACAGCCTCTTCCAAGATTAACTGGTGATAACGGGCATGATATCTGGATAATAATCAACACAATTATAGATTTTCTTTAACTACTCAGTTTCCTGAGGGAAAGTGTGACCTTGCTGCCACAGCAAATATGCTGCTTACATATGGAATCCATTTAAACTACTTGCGCATATAGTAGAAGTGCTAAATATTTTAGACATCGCTGAGTTTTCTGTGCACTGCTTATCTACAAGCGTGTCCAGGATATGTTCTGAAAGAGAGGGAATGTGCTGTAACATACAGGCGGGGATGACTAATAAAAGCTTTTCGATCCAAGTAAAAGCAAGACTTGTTGCCTACGACATACCTCATCTCCAAAGCTGGAAAATCCTGCTTCTTGGTTTATATTCTGCAGTACTCTCAGCAGCACTGTATATTAAAAAAAAAAATGCCCTGACCGCTTTTGCTCTCGCAGTGCAGACTGCACCTTGGTTTGCATGTATGAGCTGTGCTATCCTGAAGAAGACCTGCTGGGCTCTGTGTTTCCACCGTGCACACTTACTACAGGTGTATTTTACAAGTCTAAAGGTGGATTGTGTCTAGTGCAGGACGTGCCAAATGTCAATGCAATAATGATGACAGTTAATTTCACCCCTGTATTTCTTCCTGTCCCCGAGAACTCAGGTCAAACCACCTTTTGTCCCTCTTCCTAACAGGTCATCGTGGTTGTCCAAACCCCAAAGCTGCTGCCTCTTTTCAGTAGAAATAATGCATCATACAGGGTATTTAATCTTGTTGTGTTGTATAGGTATTGGAAGATCTTTTTATCATGGTGAAAGACTGAGCACAGACCTAAGCTTCTTGAGCTTGTCAAGCTGGTGATGCTTCTGGACTGAGTAAAACCGCTCTTGTCCTTGGAGTAAAGGAGTGCTACACTGTGACGCGCTGCAGTAAGGCACTTGCCGTGGCCAGGTTTTTAAGCGTTTCACCAACGTGATTGTTAACTTCGTTTCATTTACCCCCCACCCCTGTCAAAACCACATCCTTCCCATGACTTCTTAAAATGGAAAGCACATATCAAATTCAGTATCAATTAAAAAAAAAAACCCAACAAAATCTGTATTTGCCTTGCTGTTCTTTGAGATGAAAACTCGGTTGCTCCGCTTGGGTTGCCAGCTGTGTGCTGGCGGACGGAACTTCCTCACTACAGGGCGTCAGCTGTGCCACAGCGCCATGCTCGATCGAGGGTTCATCTTCTAGCGGATGATCTCCTTTGATCGTTATAGTGGTTTTCCTTATAGTGATGCACACTTTGTTGGCTGTGCCTTTTTTTGTCCCCTCCCTCTTCGATGAGAAAAGGCAGGTCCGTTTTGCTGCTGGCCATGAGGTGTGGCCAGCGGTGATTTCAGCCTGTGCCACTTGACTGATACCCCTCTCCCCTGGGCAAGAATGTGCATGAAAACAGCAAGTAAAGATTCTCTCGATGACTAATGCAATCAGGACCATGCTGATAACATTAACGTTTACTGGTGTATCACAGCTGAAGATTGTATTTTAAAGCAGCATGGATTTAAGCTTGACGCACCGTCTGGTTCCTGTAATCCGCCAACACTGTTGTTTTTGTGCTTCACACAGGGGTTCCAGTGTCTGATTTTTACATCCGCCCTGTGTTTTCTCACTGCAGTTCACCTGTGACTTAGAGCTCTCGCTCGACGTTTAGAAAAGCAGGAGGAACTGCAGCGGGTAGGAATAAATGTTCGGTCTCAAGCAGAGGTGACAGTGCGGCCTCTCTTTGCTCCCGTGCAGAACATGGCGGACTCCTTCCTGGAGGGTGAGTCGACCCTGGACGTGTTCGTGGACGAGTACCAGAGCAAGAGGAAGCTGGCGCACCTGCGCAGGGTGAAGATCGACAAGCTGCGGGAGATGGTGCTGAAGGGGCACCGGCTGCCCCAGGCGCCCGTGAAGCTGCCCCGGCTCCCCGAGACCCGTGCGGCGGCGGCGGCCCCCGAGAGCACTCCGCCCACCTTCGCGGTGGACACTAGCACCCCCCCTGCCCCCCTGCCCAGGAGAGTGCCCCCTCTGCCTCCTGTCCAGCCTGTTCCTGCCAGCGTGGCGTCCTCGACTCCACAGGCCGCTCCCCTGCCCTACCCTGCCAGTCCCTACCCCCCCATCCCCCCGAGAGCAGGCCACGCCCTGCCCACTCCCAATCTGCAGCCTGGCTACCCCAATGCCTACATACCTCCGTACGGCCCCCCGCCCATTCCGCAGAGGCCCCCCCCTCACTTGGCACCACAGCCTGGGTTCATCATGCAGTGAGAGGTCAGGGGTCAGAGGTCAGGCGGCTTGGACCAGCGCTCCAGATTGTCTGGTTGCTCCGTTCTAGGTATATGTTTTTGCTTTGGATCGCTGTTGCTGCTGCGCTGGGGGTCATTTCAGCTGCTCTGCACACATCCTGAATTGCAGGCAGGTACTCTGTATGCTGTGTGTCAGTTGAATGTCTGGATATCTTAAAAAAAAAAAAAAAAAAAAAAACAACAGCCACTATGACAGAACAGTGAATTACAACACTCAATTTGAATGGGAATGCGTGTGTTTGTTTTCAGTAAGAGAAGGGGTGGTATTTGGTCTGGTAATTGTAAAATCGATCAGATTCCTTCCCACCGATTGCTTTTCCTACACAGCTTGCTGCATGCGGTGAAGATTTGTCGAGCCTTTGAAGGGGGAGGCTGCTGTGTTCCTTTACATCTGGATAAGGGAATCTGCAGCATTTCTTGTTTTAGTTCTGGCGTTGAAAACGATTTCCTCCCATTTAATTATAGTAGTAAACTTGGATAACATTGAACTAGTCACTTCCACCTTTTTGAATTGTTCTAGATATGGATCCTCGCAAAATAAGAACATGTTATATGCAAACGGACTGAGATTATACTGTGCTATTTTATAAATGTGCTAAAAATATATACCTAGTTTTTAATCATATTAGTTCAAAGAATTTAAAATTGACCAGGTTAAACTAGCAAACCTGTATCCAAAGGTGTTTGTATTTGTTAATCCTTTTTGTTCTGTATATTTTTTACAGTAAATATTCTGGGAGGGGGGCTGCAGTAGTTCCTGGTGGTTTTTATATAAAGGTGAGTGATTTAATACTTAGGATATTTCAAAGTAACTAAAAAAACTGGATAATATATAGATGATTGTTGGGGAGAAATACTAGGAAGCCACAAAATGATTTTGATGATAAATATTTGCACTGCATATGTTTCACAGAAATTATTATATGAAGCTGTTCCTCCTCTTTTCTTTCCAAGATATGCATTATGGTTGCAAATTATGACTTTCTAATTTTTTTCTTAGACAAGTATAACCTATATTTGTAATGCTGTTTTTGCAAATTTCAGGGACTATCCATGTAATAAGCATTTCACACACACTGATAACCGGATGGTGCTTTTCGAGGTGCTCTAGAAGCCCCCCACAACAAAGCAGTGATGTGCGATTAACCATGTTATTCAATAACGAAAAAGAAATGGCACTCCATGTCACAGAATCTCTCTCAGTGAAATCTTTGGCTTCTTTGCGATGGTGAGCGGAGAAATGCATACAGAAGTGGAGATCCCTTTCCCTCTTGACGTGGTAGGGTTGGAGCTTTGAGGAGTTGGGAAAATATGTGTGTGAATGTACAGAATGCGATGGTGGATCAGTCTGTGGTTTTGTTTCTGGATGCGTTTTTCCAGCTTGCTTTCTTTCGTCCACACTCTGGACCAGCTAGAAAGATTTTCAAGACGGGTCAGGTGTGGAGGGGGAGGCTGTCTGTTTCTCTCAGCCCTAGCTGGAAAAATGTACAGAATTTCCTTGCTCAAGAATAAGCAGTAAAAGTGATGGCAATTAACGCAGGACTCTTTAGCCAGACTGTGCTTTCTCCTTCAGCACTCTAGCTCCGGATGCATTGGAGAAATTGCGTGAGGAGTGTAGAGGGTGTGAGAAAAATGACTTGCACGCACATCCTAATGGTTTCATTGAGGTGCAAGCCCCAGAAAGCAAGAATTTGCCATCAAGCTGGCATTGATTGCCCCTGTTACTAAGTGTTTAGGAAGGTATGTACATAGTCCTTGTCAGAGATGACCCTGCACTTAACCCATTACTTGCTATTGTTTTATTCCAGACAATTGGAGTCTCAGCATTTTCTGTACATGGAAGTAAAACTTAAGAGTTTAGAAGAATGGCAGCCTTAAGACGTTAAGCTACTTAGGAAATTACCAAATTTGTTTTACTTTGTGGCTGTTCGTTGTTAATCAACAGCAGTGGCCCGTTACCTTTCAACCGGTGCCACCGAGTTCTGCTTCCTGAGTGATTGTGCCTGTCAGCACTCCCTCGCTTGTCAAGACTGCCTCGCCTGGTCTTGAGACTGTTTAACGCAGGTGGTTTGATCATCTCTAGTTTGTCAGGAACCCAAAATAACTCCCGAGCCAAGGGAGTCTTTTTCTATCCGTTTTATTTCGAATGTGGCAAACTTTCAACTCACTTTCTGTTTCATTTAAAAAGGATCATTTTTAAGATGTATTGCTATGCATTTACAGTATAACATGGGTATATGTAATATGCCTAAGTCTGCTGTTTAGGTGTTCAAGAAAAACATGGCTTAATACCTCTCATGTAACACATCTTCAGTGGTGTTGAAATGCACTGTTTTTCCTCCCCCCTCCCAACTTCACAAGTTTTCCTTTGCCTTTCTCCCTACCATACTGCCTCCCTGAGGTCCAGTAATCTTCTAGTGTAAATACTTTGACTTTTGAATTAGTTTATTTATGTCACGTTCTTACACTGTTATACAGATGTAAATCTGAAGTTTAATGTTTTCAGATACTCTTATCAGGTACCGGTGGTGCAGAATACAAGTCTAACCTCCTGCAGGCATACTGTCCTTAATGCGCTCTACAGCTAAAGCCATTGCTCCTAATCCTGCTGTGCACAGGTGCTGTCTGAGGTTAAATACTCAGATGCATTTCTTATGACTGACAGGGTATTTTTAGAACCCACTGCTACACTACATGTTAAACTCAGTGGTCTTTCTGTGCTGTTTTCTGAATGTGGCCTTCTTTCTACGTCCCTACATACTGTATCAGCAGTGATATCCTACATATACTTCACTTGGGTTTGAAAGTGGTTTCTTTTATAGTCTGAGGGGGTATCAAACAAGTTTTTAATGTTTTCCAACATTGTTTTATGACCAAAATGCAATTTGGCTTAACCATCATGTTGCCAAGGTGCTGAGATTCCTCCTTGAATTTTGCCGTGTTCTCTGGGCTGAAGGACTGAAATGCTGTGAAACTGCTCGACAGCCGTTAGTGCCTCTGCTGTGCAGTGGATGCCTGGGGGTTTGTGGCGAGTCCCTTGGGGGGGTGAGAAAGTGGGGGCCTCCCTATCTGTTCAGTGAGTTTCCTCATTAAGGTGGTACTATACATCCCTCCTCTGGCTCCGGGGAGGAAGATAGGTGAAGTGTTTGTATTGTGTGTCCCCTGCTGGGCTGTCTCCTGTTAAGGATGCTGTTTTTGATGTGCTGCCCAGCTTTGCATGCCCATAGCAAAAGGCATTGCATGTGAGATTGGTCCATCATGCACTGCAAGGTGGCCCTGGAGTCTTGATCAGGTACCTCAGCCACAGTCTTGGTCCTGACTCTCTGCTGTGACAGATCCCAGTGACAGCAATGCAGGAGTTGCACAGCAGTAACGTGCTCTGTTTGTGGAAACTTGAAGTGAATCTGACTCCGGCTCACCTCCGATACCAGCACTGCTAATTCTCACTCTGAATTTCACAGCAGCATGGCGCTTCCTCCTGGCTCTGGCGCGCTGATGGTAGCCAGTCAGCTCCAGCGCGTCTATGATCATTGACCTCTTGGCACAATAGGATTTCTTTTAAGCTGGACACAGGTTTATATCAGCAATTGTCCTGCTTGAAAGCCTCCAGGCATACGTCTCTCAGCCTTTGTGAATGAGTTCAGTATTTGTTCTACTTTGTGTTTAATAAACCTCTTGAATTCATAAATTGGACTAGCAAAGACCTCATTGGTAAATACGATACCTGGCTAGAACAGAGACTGGGTGCTTATACTGAAGTTGCTTGTCATAGGATCCACTACCATAGGATTCCAGAGTAGCATGTTGAGAAAAAGCCATCAGCCCCTAGATTTAACTCTTGAGATTTTCCAGCACCTAGTTGTATTTTGGGCATCGTGATTTTGGAAAGTTGCTGTTTCAGAGATCAGAAAGTTCCCTATTTCGCTGTTCTAAAAGCTTAAGTGGAAAAAAAAAATTTGCCTTTATTTTCTACTTAAATGCGCTTTCGGTAATTGCCAAACTACCTGTGAGAAAACCAGCATGTTTTTAAACATGATTGTGACTTTGTTTTTTTTTTCCCTAATGTGATTCATTTTCTTGTCTGCATTTGAGCGACATTTTTCTCTTAAGAACATTGTTGAGGTGTCCCATCTGCCATGACTAAACAACACATGCAATATCGATGCTCTGTAACATGGGCCTCGGAAAACAAGATGCTCTCAGACAATGCTGTTTTATAATGTAAAATAGTTTCTTGTACACTCCTAATGTAATATAAGTTGATTATGTATTGTAATACTGTGCTGTATGACTAATGAAGATTGTAGTGGTGGACTGCATAAGTTACCTCTGACTATTTTAATTCTATTAAATAAAATGTTTTTATATCTGTGCTGTTTTACCTGCAATTTGTTCAAATAGGTATTTTTTAATTAGAGTGGGTTGAAACACATGACAAATAACGGTCTTTGCACACTTCGGAAGATTATTCACTGCTCCTGCTTTGTAGAGATCTGTGTGAGAGCATGTTTTCTGAAATCCTAGTTTGTTTGTTTTTTAGCTCTAAGGCCATTGCACACCAGATCCTGTTCTTAATCAATTTTCTTGCTTGCGTTAATACTGTACATAAAGTAAAAAATGGCAAACATATCAAACAGTGATGATGTGCTAATTGTTGGAGTATTTTGTTTGTTTTTTTCCATTATTTTCAGTTAATAACTAATTCCTAAAGAAATTAATGCTGACATTTTGGGGAACAACACCAATAAACCTGGAAATACCTAATTTAAGCACAATGGGAAATCTATGCTTGGAAACTGAGCGCAAAAGCTTTTACTTTCAGATCCTTCCTTGACAACGTAACGTCTGCTGCTGTCAGACTTGACGTGTCTGCAAAACTCACTCTGCTCTGGCAACTTCTCTTTTTGAATATTGAGCAAGATATTGGAGAAACTCGTGTTCCTATAGTCTGTACTCGGGGCACCTCATATCCAACCCTTCGCCTGGAGAACTTTCGTCCAGCACGTTTGACAGGTGACCATAAAATCATCTGTTTCGTAAGACATGGTACAGTTTGACTGTGTTCCACTGCAGCAGATTACTTAAATTAAGTCATTTAGAAACCATTTGAACTAATATTTTGGTCCTCATGGACCAGAACGTTAATTTGCTAAACTTACCAGTGTATCCAGTCATTAAAAGTGATTTAGCTTGTGCTGCGAGACTTATGGGACTGTAGCTCTCTGTGTCCGGGACTGGAGCAGCCTGCTGTAAGGTGTGTGTTGAATCTGAGCAGTGGGTGTGGAGAGACGCACAATGCGCTCCTCTGTGAGAGTTCTGACTGGCCTCCTTTCATCTAGACAATGGGGCACTGATGTCTTCATTTAAACAGGCACACAGGGACACGTCTCCCATCCTTTTTCCCCCCACAGAAGCCACTGCAGTGGATTGACTTCATTAACTGTGCCATTGAAATAAAATTTGAATTAGTTCAGTGAATCGAATAGGGTTTTTCTCAAATCAGTTCAGGAATTCATGCGAGTCATACTGGTGTGCAGAAATAGTGTTACACACACACATACATCCTGGACGGGATGTCAGTCCATCACACAGCACACACAGACACAAACACGCACCAGGGCCAATTTCCCCTAGTCAATTAACTTGCCAGTATGTATTGGGACTGTGGGAGGAAACCAGAGCACCCAGAGAAAACCCACCCTAACATGGGGAGAGCATAGAAACCCCAAGCAGATAGCACCTAAGGTCAGGAATTGAACCCAGGACCCAGTGATAGCCATGGCACCACTGTACCACCTGTAAACATGTCTCATTGCTGGCCATACTAATTGTCTGCATTTCTTTCCTTAAATGGTCTGTTCATGTCTCTCATTTTAATGGTCCCTTCTCTTCTTAATTTGTTTTCCCATCAGTCCTAGTAGAGGTGTATTTCACCTAGATACAGTATGACAGTTGTGGTAATGGTGATTATTTGCGATACCCTGGTAGGTGTTTGAAGATGTAGGACCTGCACCATTTCAACATTCTAGAGTGCGGTTGGCTTATTAATGAATCCCGACATTTCTGTGTTGCAGGAGGTGCTAGCTCTCCCATGTGCAGTGCCTTGGGAAATGTAGCAGACACATTCTGCTCAGGCCAGTGTTCCCCTTTCCACACTATCAGCGTCTCGCAGCTGTATCCCAGGAAACCAAAAGCCTGAGAACAACAGGAGGGATAATCCGACAGCAGCTGTGACTGTAGCTTAGCATAAACAAACCAACTTTTGTTTTTCCTCGTCTTCATGTATCTCGAAGGACATGTACAAGTCAAGGATCTCTGACAAATATATATATATAGCTGCCTGATAAGCAAATAACCTTACTTAAAGCAGTCTGTGTAAACATCTAAAAAAATGGCCTAATTTCACCTCATGTACAGTCTTTTAATTGCTCCAGTACTGTAATAATTGCTACTTGTGTAATGAAAAGGCTAAATAATGCCAGAAATTACACTAGCATGTTATTTAATGGCATTAATTATGAAGTGTCCTATAAAGAGTACCAGATTTAGTGTTTCTGCTGAACCCTCCCGGGTTTAGCTGGTGTCCTTAATATCCTCTCACAGCTCCTGCTTAGGGTTGCAATAGTGCTAGGTTTCTACTGGGACTTTGGTTGCCTGTATGTAATGGAGTTTGAAAAATGCAGGCTTAATCTGTGTGAAACAGGCAAGACCTTTACAAAACATCAGAAATGCACTCATTTTGTACCATTGTCCCATCTAGATATCCTGCAATACTCCAGTGTTCTGGCAGCACTGTAACTCCAGAGTCTGTGATTTTTGAAATAGCCCTCCTGCAATCTGTTAGATTGTAAGAGAAATACCTTAATGTCAGTGATAAGCCAGTCATCCAATATCAGAAAGCTCCTCCATCCAGGTACATGTCACGCCATTCCGGAGCCTGTCCTGGAAGCACAGGACACCTGGGGATAATACACACAGGGACGATTCCAAGACACCAGTTAACCCAGCTCGCGTGTCTTCAGGAGGAGGAAGACATTGCATCCAGTGGAAATGGAAGAACACCCAGCAGGCATCCTCTGGCCCAATTCGAACCCAGGACCCCAGACCTGTGAGGCAGCAGCTCCGTCCCCCATGCTACTGTAAGTGACCATTGCGTTTCGTGTTGCAGCAAATACGTTTGTTAAAAGCAGCAGGCTCTCTCTGCCCTTTAAACGGGGGACACTGCAAAACCACCAAACATCCATGTGAGCTTTTCTACAATGTGCAATACTCCATTGTTTTCTTTCCAAATGGTGGAACAATTTAGCATTTCCAGTTTTGATTCCCACTGAACCAAAGCCCCGATTTCTGGTAATCAGCCACTGCTTGCAAAAGCAGTTTAGCCTTTTTACTTTTTTAAAAATGCTACGGAAAATAAGACCATTGAATAACAGCGCCATCACCTGTTAAACTGATAAGACTCCTGATGAAGGAATAGTGGGGTTACTAGGCCTGCAAAGAATCTTCAATTGTCCATTGTGAGGTTTCAAAAACTGAATTAAAACCGAGATCGGAATTGCAAAGTTGTCACCCGTAAGCGTACAATCACGACAGCTTGTTGCCCAAATTATGCCTCCGCTCTGCGTCTGTCACAGTGAAAAGTATTGGCTGCCCTACACTACAGAAGAAGGGTCTGAGCTGTACAAGGAGCTCAGGCTAGCAATTCTGCAGATATAATTTAAATAAATGCTGCAAATAAGTGCTTCTGCATAAAAATGTTTTAGTATATTTTCTTCTCTAGGACTGTCAGATAAAGACTACAATATGTTTCGTTTATGGACTGCAAACAGTATGATATTTTATAAATATTTAACAACCAAGTTATTACAACTCAAATATCCATTATCCACCTATTCATTACCTTTTGCTCATTAACATAATTATACGTACTCAAAGTTGTTTTGCATTTCGCACTAATACCTATGCCAAAAGCTAGATTTTACAACACAGATGTACTTCACAATTGTACAACCTGTAAGAACTAAATAGCTCGACTCTTCGTTTGGCTGCGAGGCTACTGAAACGGAAGCAATGAACTTGGCGCCTATGGATTGTTTTCTTCTGTCCGGTTCTGCTGTAGGCCTATCGCCTGTCATACAGCAGCAGGCGATAGCGTGAGGTAACTGTACCACAGTAGAAGCAAGGCAAAGCAAGAGAAGGATCGGAAACTAAAAAGATCTGAGGAAGTGCCTGATGGAATCACGCTCCGTTTGGCACGACACCAGCAAGAGCAGGCCTGGCGTAGGGGCTGGCGAGGAGCGAGAGCCGAGATAAAAAAAGAAGACGAGAGAAACGAGGAAATCTGATGTCAGAAAACCGATGGGGGACAGAAGGCGTGGGCGCTTCTTGCTCAACAAAACGCAGCACCTCTCTTTACGCCCAGACCTTTAAAATTAGGAACCGCTAAAAATATAAAAATTAAACAGCAGTGTGGAGCTAAAATAAAACAAAAATGCTTTAGTTGCACAGGACTAATATTCACTAGTGTGGGTCAGCAAAAGTCCACAATCTTTCTAAAAAATATATATATTTTAAGTAAAAGTAAAAGTGAGAAAGGCTTAAACAGCACCATGTAAGACTGTTTGGGTCAATTCAACATCTTCCCTGACTCCTGTGAAGTTGATCAAGAAGCTGAATGAAGAGTTGGGAGCATCTGCACCAAAAAAAACAAAAAAAAAAAAACTTAAGTTTCCGAGGAGACCAGAATCGCAGCTCTGTGAATGTGTTGATGGCTGGGGATGGCAGGGCTAGGGTCTGAACATTATACTGTAGATCCTGTTTCCTTCATTTTTCCCAAAAACCCAAAGAACAAAAACAGAGTTTTGTGCTTAGCTCAGACTCCCTATCTGAGGACTGAAACAGTGCTTTCGTCCACAGCAGTTTATACGAACACAAGCTTTTATGATTCGCTGACCTAGCCAGAGGCGTTGTGCTAGTAGCCTGTCTTTTTAGGCTGCGGAGTGCTAATGCCAAGACCTTTGTACACACGGACCTCACTGCTCATCCTAGTTTGCATTCTTAAAGAGTACATACTCATCATTGCAGACAGTCCGAGGAAATGTGGACTGAAAATCACTGTTCACCTCCAGTGGAAGTGACCACAATCCAGGTAAGTAAACAATGCCCCTGCAAAATCAGAACAGGCCATTAAGGCCTGATCTACCAGAATTACACTCTTAACATTGAGAAGGCTGAACAGGTTTTAGCTTCCACACATCTTCCTAAAACTGCAGCCTGTCCTGATGATTATTAAAACCACTGTCCCACAGCAACATGTAAATCGTCTTAGATGGCAAGATTACTTTTTGAAGCAAAACATCAAGATTTGTTTCCAGAAATAATTTACTGCCTTTCGCACTCTGCTCGTATTAAAACCCTGAAGTAGTGAACCATACCATTCATCTGTATGATGCAAAGCTGAAACGCTTGTGCGAAAGTTGGGAAATGCAGGCGAGTGAAGTTACGACGGGAAACAGGTGTGAAATCTGTGCTTGTTCGGGTTTGCAGGGTGGTTGTTCAGTCACAGTGTTACGATGAGGGTCTATGTTTTGTCATCACAGAGGAAGTAACACTCAAGGTTTCATAAACTTTTATTGCTCATTTGACATTTACAGTCATTACAGATAACCACAGTAATCTTTACTAAAATATATTAATGGATCTGAGAGTATAAAGACATCCTTTAAGAAAGAGAGAGAAAACATACTTTATAAGACCCCTTTAGGTAAATATATATCATTCGCCGCATTTAGAAAGCACCCTAGGCAGGTGCCGAAAATCCTTCATAACACCCTTAGAAAATATTTACAAAATCATTCCAGAATCCACGTTTCACATTTATCTCCTTGTTCTTCATCGCCATAAACAGCAGCATACTCTGAGTTCTCATTATAAAAAAGGAGAGTGTTAGCTTGTGAACCTTCATTTCGTTCCAGTGGAAAAGACTATGTGTAAAAACGACAATAATTCAAAGAAATTTCCATGGTTCGGATAAATGTAACTCCTAATGTTCCCAACACTAACAAGTACAGTATAGCCATTGAGGGGAACTGAGACTCTCACAAGAGCTCCTGAGAGAACAGTGGAGCAACGTGGGAGAACAATGGAGAACTAATACAATAAATCAGATGGAAGACAAAGACAATACGAGGGGATGTACCACTACTACAAGAAATAAAAACTGAATATAGTGTTTATTACAGAATGTGCAAAAGTGAACTTTTGATTATTTTCATACAATGGAAATAAAATATCCAGGCATACAGAGGTGTGTAAAAGCATGGACTGTAAAGCTGGCTCAAACTGGAATTGCAAATAACTAGAAACTTTGATTAGACAAGACTGGTCACTTCAGAATAGTGCTGAACAGGTATGTGGATTTCCCAACCAATATCGAAATGGTAACCTAGCTGTTGTAGGCTGGAAAAATCCTCTCTTTAAGATCTTCTGCCACTCATGGCCACTCCTCTGAATATTTGGGACAACAGTGCCAATACACTTCATTGAACTCAGATCGCTTTGCTCAGAGATATGATTTTACTTGATGCAGCTTTTGCAAGATGATCTAGCCTCACACACAAGTCATAAGGATCCATTTTTGTGCAGCCTTCTGTCCTGAGCTGAAGAACTACAATTGCTTCTGGAATGAGAATCCACTACAGATGTGGAAAAGCCAGACACCACAATACTGTTTCTGGTTTGTGAATTAAGGGAGCTTGTTGATCCATTCCCAAGGGAAGAAGCAGTTTCGCCCTTGCCAAAAGCATGTTAATGATTGTGCTAAAGAAAAGGCACTTCATTTCAGCGATGACCCATCTCTGCAGGTTTAGGAACTGCTGTCCAACTGTGGTCGCACATTCATCTCTGAGTAGGTTTGTAACGTCTGTACTTAATGTTGCATGCGGCACCATTCACTGTTAGATAGCACATACTGCATTTGTTTAAGCTGTTGCAAGATCTGCTGTAAGTTCCTGGTGTCTTAGTCTACTGCAGTGGTCACAAACCTAGGTGACTATGCAAACCACCAGATGGAAGTTTTGCAGAGTGCAGGACATTTTCAACAGCCCCTAAATAAAACGGGAAGTGCAGAAATAAGGCAAACTTTCTAAAATGAGTCACTAAGAAGAAAATGCATTAAAATTGTCCACGGCTTATCAAAAGCAGCAGCTAGTGCAGAAATGGAACACAACCCAGCAACGGCCTTCACAACCTCTAAAACGCCCAACGAGTAAAAACAGCATGACTCTCTTTTCCCAACTTGTCAATTAAATTGTTAAAGGAGAAATAACATACAAATATACAGTAACATTGAGCAGCAATAATATTTATCCGAAGCCTTCTCAGTGAGAAAAATATTGGTAAGATGTATAACCTATTTGTGGCTTCCTGGCACACAGCAATGTGATTGTGCTTCTAGTAAAACACAGTACATTCGGGTATTCATTATTCTCAATTTAAAAACAATCCACACCATAAGGTTTCTATGTAAATACTCTGATTTAAAAAAGAGGGATACCTGGATGTCCAGATGACATCGATGTAATCAACTTAACCTCTTGTACTCGGGCAAGAAATCTCTGACAGACTCACAAACCAATCCGTAACTTTTCATGAGCTATACGGCCAGCATGTTACTTACTGATCTGTATTGGAGAGTAATTACAAAGCAGCCAGATGGGTTATCACTGGGTCCATGGTTCAAAGGCCAAGACATTTTTCGAGAGGCTGAGAAATAGACACACCCTTTAGGCTCCCTGTGCCAAGTACTGTATTTAGAAATTCTAGGTTGTGCTGTGGAATACAGGTAACAAATGTCTCCCTGGAAGCTAAAATAAGCAGAAGATAACCCATCTTTGCTTAATTTAAGTTTTGCTATCTTCTGTAATTTATTTTTTTCAAAGCCCATTAAAACATTACACAGTGGTGTGCATATAGATGAGTAACAGCACTGGTAAATCTCCCACATTTGTTAATGTGGTTTCTCTGCCTGCAAACTGATGTGCTTTGCAAATTCTCTTCTTCTGTGCTTGTTCTTAAACCCCTGAGTTGGGTGTGAACAGCATAAACACCTCCTTGGTGCTGACACCAAACAGTTCACTCCAATTCAAAAAGGTTGTGACTGATCAACAGAATCATTTTCTAGTATTTGCCCTCAATTCAAAAGATACTTCTTTTTGCTGCTTTTCCATTAATGAAAAAACAATGCCCTTTGCTAAAACTTTGAAAAAAAAACAAAAACAAAAAAAAATATATTTAAATGGTAGACCTACATTCCCTTTCACCCCTATAATCCCTTAAATTCCTTAGAATCTGAAGTGTCTTGCAGCAAGATTGCTGAAAACGCATTGTTTTATGTCCAAGCAACACCAGAAATAAACATAGATTTCCATTTCTAAATAACTCTGTAACAGTCCCCTTTTTGTTTCTGAAACCAACAACGCTGACTAAAGAAAACAGTCTACAGCAGAACTGGATGTGCTACACACTGACGGTGTACACTATACACAGGTGAGTGCAAACGCCAATTTAAAATTTCAAAAAGAACGTTTCTTTTCCCTATTAAAAAGGTAGGCAGCAGAGAAGAGGAATGAGAGACAAGCAGAGTGAACCGTTAAGATTTGGCAAGAAAAATAAAATAGTTCAAAGCTGTTGCCGTAGCCCCTCTCTGGGCGCAGGAGAGACTCCAGCTCGTTCTGTCACCTGCGGATCTTGACCCAGGGAGGACGAGACTGGTTCTTCGTTCTTCTTCTCGCTTTGTGTGTCGGTAGCTCATCTTGTCCAAAAATCCTCTCCAGCTTCCATTTTTTATCTGAACTGTGTAAAAAAAAAAAAAAAAAGAAGACAGAAATAATGAGAACTTTGTAGCCTTTAGGACTCATCTCAGACACACACACGGGGGCAGGAGGCCCCTGACACGCGCAGGAAGGAAGTGTAGCTCAGCCAGCAGGCCTGACAAGAACAGATATAAGCGATTTCCTTGCCCCTTTCCCCTTACGAAATAACAGCTGTTAATTCCCTCACTCGAATCGGGGCTGGAGATCCGAATAACTGTAAGATCGCAAGTCAGTCCTCTCAAGCTGAGACGGCAATCTTCGCTCAGGTGTGATCTTCAGAAATAAGATTCTACACCACCTGTTTGGTAGTGGGGTGGCACAGTGGCACGGTGGTCTGAGTGAGGTTTGTAAGTTCTTCCCATGCTTGAGAGGGCTTCCTCCAGGTGCTCCAGTTCCCCCCCCCACAGTCCTAACAAATACAGGTCGGTAAACTGGCGCTGGTGTGAGTGTGTGAGTATTTGTGTCTGTGTGCCATCCAGGATGTATCCTTCCTTGCACCCACTGCCTGCTGGGATAGACTCTGGCTCCCCCATGACCCTGAATTGGTTACAAAATGGATGTCTGGTAGTACCTCACTCACTAAGAGACCTGACCATCTCCAATTGTGGCTAAACGGTTCTCAGCCGCTCTTACTGGGTTTGCCTTGGGCCTCATGGAAGGTTTCTGAGCCAGGGGAGGTTTCCTCATGACGGCGGGCTTCACCGCTGCAGGAGACACAGGCGCTTGTTTCAGGAAGCCGTTCCCGTCGCTCATCTCCTCTGAAGGAGCCCCGGCCAGCTCGTAGTGCTTCTTCCGCAGCTCTCCCAGCCTCAGTCTTTCGCCCTCCAGCTGCGCCTCCAGCTCCAGGACCTTCACCTGCAGGACACACACACACCCCCCCCCCGAGTCAGCGCCGCCACCCTGGCCGAGAGACCCCGGCCCTCCCCGTCCTCCATCGCCCCCGATCCACCCCCCTGTACGAGCCACGGGCGCACGACACCTGGACGGCTCACCCAGAGTTTGCAAAAACAGAAGGCAACACTAATGCAAATGATTCTGAAGCAGCTTTCCAGATTGAAGAGCAGTTGTGAGATGATAAAACCGGCCTGCTGCAGCTTGTTACGGCCTTCACTGAGGCAAAGTGAAAAAGGCCTGTCGAGGGACCTCCTCGAGAGACTCAATTGCTAGAGGCGCTTGCCCAAGGGAAGGTTTTGCTCTATAATCATGGGTTCGAGCCTCGGTTGTGTCTCTGGCCGACTACGACTGGGATTCGCCAGGAGGTGGTGCAAAATCTGGCTGCGTTCTGGCTGATTCCAGGCCCGCAGTGCAATCAGTGAGAGACGCACCTCTCTTCCAGTCAGCACTGCCCTCAAGGCACCTGTCCAAGAGCAGGCGCACCTCAAGGCACCTGTCCAAGAGCAGGAGCACCTCAAGGCACCTGTCCAAGAGCAGGAACACCTCAAGGCACCTGTCCAAGAGCAGGCGCACCTCTTGGACAGGTGGCTTGAGGGCAGGCAGGTTGGAGGAATCTGCCTGCACCTGCTCATTCTCCCCTGTGTGTTGCTGCAGAGTTCATTAAAAGCAAGTCGTTATGTGAAAAGTGATTAGCTACTTAATACTGAGTATAGCACAAACAGTTGGCATTTATCCATTTAAAAAAAGGCCTGTTGGGATAATCTAATAGGGCTGTGCAATGGTGAAGCCCCTCAATATCACAAGCACCTACCTGGGACTCCATCTCCTCTTTCTTGAGCTTAATCAGGGACATGCCTGAGAAGTCCATGGTGTCTGTGAGGGACAATAGTACAAATTAATTCCATACAATCTAGAACGAGAAAACCATTCCTAGATAAAACACTTTACACCTGAATACAAAATGGTTTTGAACAGGGATGGACCTGTACAGAACATTTGACTTCTTCTCTAAACAGAACACATGCTGTAAATAATTAAAATCAGAGGTTGTTTACAGGATTAAGGAGACGCTGGATATTCAGTCTATGTCTAGAAGCAAAAACAGATGTTGGACTAGAAAGCCTTCTTGTTGGCAGGAGATTCCATCTGCTAAGCCAGTACGAGAGCAAAAGTGGACTGTTCAAAGACTGTTGTCCGCTGTAATGCTGTGTTTCACCACCCCGCAAGGACAAAACCACACACACACAAAAACAAGCACGGGCTTATACGGCGTCCAAAACCCAAGGACTTCGCGGCCGAGTGGGCCGAACCCCTCACCTTTGTCTTCTATCTGCTCCTGCCCGGTCTTGGTGGAGGCGACGAGGTTGGCTGCCGTCTCGTTGACATAGCGGGAGGCCTGCTGCAGGGTGGACAGCCTCCTGCTGCTGCGGTCGGCCTTCACCTGCGTCAAGGGGAATGAAAGAGCTGCTCAGGCCACACGAGACTCACGGGTGCTTTACACGCTGGGGCCCTGGGGCCGGCTCTGGGCCTGGGGTGCCATCTGCGGGATCCTTGTGTGTTCTCCCTAGGTTTGCATGGGCTTCCTCCCACAGTCCAAAGATTCTGGGAAAACTGGCCCTGGTGTGTGTGTGTGTGTGGGCCTTGGATCGGGCGAACCAGGAAACTGCCTGGAGCCTCCAGGCCACCAGGGGGCCCCCTAAATGTGCAACTCAACATAATTTTTTGCAACTGGCACATTCAACTGTCAGTCAAACATTCCCTCCAGTGGCTCTTTCTGTTGCTGCTCTGCTAATATAGACTTTTAAAGTTTGTTAGTTATAAAATATATTATTATTTTAAGTGTAGGAATGAAAGTGTAGTAGTTTATTTCACCCTCGATGTAGGAAATGACTCATCTTTGCCGAAAGAGGACAGTATCGGTGCGGTTTCAGCTGCCGCTACACCTGAAAGCTGTTTGTGTCGTTTCAGAAAGTATTAAATGTTGGGAGGATCGATTTTGTTAATCTTCCATTACATCTGACAGCGCTTCAGAGCCGGTCTTGTGCAGAGAGGCCTCACCTTGGAGGCGGCCACCAGCTGGGCCGTGCTGGCGGCGATCTCGTGCGAGCACACGATCAGCTCCTCGTACTTCCCCGTGTGCAGCACCACCTTGTCAGCAGACTCCCTGCAACACAGCCAGACAGCGCTGTCACTGCATTGACACACGCGAGGCTAATAACAGAGCACTGCAATGGGCTTCTGTTACTGTTACAGTTATATAATGCAAGCTTTGCCACAAGCTTCTTAGGCAGGATTTGTAAGACAAAGACAAGTGAAAGACAATTTCTGTTAAGGCCACATTCATGAGACGGATATACTGTAGGGAGATTAACCATGTTCGATACAGCCAGCACGCAACAATGGCGCCTGTGTGAATCGGAACTGATTAGCAAGGCAGCCAACATCTCTCTCTCTCTCTCAATGATGAAGTTAAAAATATCATCGCTGCGTTTCAATGTCATCATCTGCGAGGCGGGAGTCCTGCCACAAGAAACTGTTTTTTACTCCTTCACAAAATGATCAAGTGCTTACAGAATTGAAGAAAAAGGACTGATTCCTTTGAAAGATTTGTATACTGACAAACAATCTGCATCATTCAACTAGTTACAAGACTTAAAAGGATTTGGCCTCCCACAATCCCACTTTTATTTGTTTGAATGTTTTGAAAAAGACTGAAATTTTCACATATCCCTGATTGTTTTACACATCCCAACAGTGTGAAATTACTTTTATTATAGATTTAGACTCTTGTCGTATTTCAACAAGAAAACTGTAAAAATGCCTTAGCAAGATTGAGCTGTTTTTTCTTTGTCTGACGGCTGTTTTTTTGTTTTTGTTTTTTATGTGTTGCTATGTATTCTGTGTTGTTCTTTATGTTTCTTAAGTCTTGCTAAAATTTTCAATTAAAAAAAAGACACACCAGGCACACATAGGTTACACAGTGAGTCTTTCACAAAAATATGTACACAAACTCTCTGGATTAATAACATTTTTAAATGCACGGCCCTCATCCTTACTGTAAATTGTCAAGTGGCAATGTTTTAAGATCTGTCTTCACAGCACGCAAGAAGACTTATTCAGTGGCTGGTGGTCAGGCTAAATGTCTGGCTTGCCAGCTACAGTATGTACTGTGGTTTGCCGTCCCAGAGATGGAACCAGCAGTGTACTTACACCATCTGAGTGGCTCCCCAGCCCACTGCTTTGGAAGCTGAAATCAGGCCTTCAGTCCAGCGGGAATTTTTTGCGTAGAATTCCCTTACTGATGCTGCCCCCTGAATGACCAAAACATCACAGGAACAGCAGAGTAAAAAAGCAAATAATTAAATTTTCACATTTGTGTTTCTCTTTTGTATGAAAAAGCCGGTGGAGCTGAAGCCGCAACTGGTCCTGCTCTTTGGCACCTAGGCAAATGAACTAAGAGCTTAACTTCCAATCCCATACTGATGACATCTGAGACATCTCATGCGTGCAAAGAGTAGAAGAATTCAATTTGACAGAACTCCAAAATGGACAGATCACTGGCCCGGTGTTCAGTGTTTCAGCAGTTTAAATTTCATTGCAGCACCTTTTCAAAGTTATCTTGTACAGTACATCAGAACATCAAGAAAGATGATCTGACGTGTCTCTGATTGGCTGGAGCCGGTCTTGTTTGGTTGCTACCAGCTAATCAATCCGATCTCACCCAACCATTTCACAAAATTAACCAGGATACCAGCTTCAACAAACCTGGACGCTGTCTGTCCCAGACCTCCACATCTCTTAAGTACATCCAATACTGGTCACCTCCCATATACTGTATTTTACAAGGCCACGTCAAATGTATTTCTTCCATTGATCATAATACAGGAGTGCTTCAGTTTAAAGACTCACCCTGCCACTTTCCACTATCTCTTTCTGCAGATCTGTGGAAGCGATGACCAGCATATGAATGGCCTGAAGGCAAAAAGAAAGACCTCAATATATGTTTTACAATTGCACCCTGGATGTCCCAGAGCCTGCAACAGAGATTAGGGATTAGGGACTATGCACGACCTCTTGAACAGGAAGCAGAAACCTGTTCAGACCCTTTTCCTCTAAAGTTCATAACGCTCAAAAGTCATAAGCAGACAGGCTTTCAGGGATAATTTAATTTAAGACTGCTAAACTCTGTAGGCACTGCAGTGTTTTAGATTACAGTCGAAAAGTAAAACTAATGTAATAATTACAGGCAAGACAAAATGAAAAGCAACTGGAATTTTAAGGAACCATCTTTCAGTCACCAGCACAAATACTGAGTCAAGCCAAAGTGGTATAGTTTTCCTTCTTTGGGTAGTGCACTCCATAGCATGCCTGCAAGATTAATATGTACCTGCTGCATGTGACAGACATGGCATCAGTGGCACAACGATACTTATTGGGAGACTGATATAAAAAGAAATTGCCAAACTCACCTTCATCAGATCTGTACAAGAGTTGAGGATTCTGTAAGGATATGAAATACATTATAAAACTTAGGAACAGAAATAAACTGTAATATATAAAATTGTGTCAAGACTGTTTTTCATTGTAAATTCTGTCTCTATAAATAAGAATGATATTGCTGATTGTGGTGTTATCAAGTAAACTGTACCCAATATTGTAAACTCCTGGTTCCATTTCATAAATCAGCAAACATTAGGCAGAAGGCTGAGGAAGGACAGTGCGGACTATTTTAGAGACCATATCTGACCTAAGATTAGTAGGTGATAATGCCACAGATTACATGGATAATCATTCAGAACTGACTGTAATTTCTTTCTGTTTAAAACAAAGCAACGTTTTAATAAACATTCCTTCAAACACTTTAGGGAAAAATACAGAAACTACAATCAGTGCTACATCTGTGTATAATCTGTGATTTTTTGTGTAGCAAAAAAAGAGAGTTGGACACTGTACTGACCGCTCATTGACCTCTAGCTTGACCCCAGTGGTGTCTTTCCTTGCCTGGTTCATCATTTCCTGTTTATACAACAAAAACACTTACACTATTATAGTTTAATGTTATACTGTATAATGTATAGCTTAGTTTATAACATTAACATCAGTGGAGGATTAAAAACATTTCTAGGGATATCAAAATATATCCTAGAATACAGTATAAGCTGTCATTTTAAAGGGATAATGACTCAGTTACAAATGTGCAGTGTTCTCCTAGCCTTTGACGTTTACTGTATGCTGCTGCAATTTACTCAGTCATCTGAAAGTACAGACACTAACATAACCAAAAGCCTTTGAACCATTTCAGATTCAAATAAAAACTGTTCTACAAAAGAAAAGGCCATTCAGTTCACACAGCTTGCCTGCCTGGTAGATAACTGATCTTGGGATCTCTTTAGTCACATCTTGAAAGTAACCAGGGTATTGGCTTCAAGTGTGCCTCCTGGTTTCAATAAGATGTGACAATGGTCATTTGCGTAGGACACAACACCAAGGGCAAAAAGGAGTAGACACCAACCCGCCAGTGACTGACAGGGGAGTAGAGGGGAGGGGACGAACAGTGCAGCACTGTGAGAGGCGCTTACATCAATCCTCCTCACGGCCTCCTCGATTGCAGTGGAAGTGGCTGCCATCTCCTTGTCCACCAGGTCTCCCAGCTCCTCCTGCTTGATGTCCATGCCCTTCGGCCTCAGCTCCTGAAACACAGCCCCGAGCCCATGGAACCTCACTGGAGCCCCCTCTGGTCACAACTGGAAGTACAGCCTCGCTGGACTGGAGAACCTCTACATTCTGTCTGAGCAAACAGCTCGTCAGATCTGCAGCTGACTGGCCTGCAGTGTTTAACTCAACTTTCAGGAAGCTGATTGTAAAAGGAACATTTTCTCCCTTGTGACAATCCAACCTAAAATTACAAAATGTAACGCACTGTTTTGAATGCACTGCAGGAAACTGATAGCACCTTCTATTGTTGGAGAACATACCGCTTCTTCTACCTCAACGGTAGCAGTAACAGCTTCAATAAACAATCATAGTATATTTTTAGCATTGCAATTGCATAGCGTTTCTTACTGAAACCCTGTAAAAGGCTGCAGGAAATGCTCATTTTGAATTGCGCATTGAATAGCACCGCTTTTTTTTAACAGTACCACTACAATACTTCTTTAAAGACATCTGTCTTTGCTGCCCCCCGATGTGTTCGTGGGGTCAGTAAACCACAGCCGCTGGAAGCCCCGGTGCGCTCACCTGACCCAGGCGCAGGATCTGCTGGATGATGGCCCTGATGGCCGAGGGGTCGGCCCGCAGCAGGGACTGCTTCGACTTGAGCTCCCCGAGGTACTGCAGGCTCTGAGTGCCACAGCCACGGCAGCTATCGGTCAGTCCTGCAGGGCAAAACAAGACAGGAGCACGCTGAGGGGTTAAACTCAGGGCCCCGGCTAGTGTCCACCCTCTACAGTCCGTACAGTCTAACCTCCCTAAACCGGTGCAGGAATAACTTCCCTAACTGATATTCTGCGTATGTCGCCCCCTTGTGCCCCTACATGAAGTGGTGAACTAAGTGGGTTCACTCCCGTATCTCAGGCCCTTCCGGATCCCTAGGGATCAAAAGCACTATTCAAATGCAAGAAACGAATCGACTCCAGTGAGCACTGCCCGCGGGAGTCATTCCGCGGCTGTCCCCTGCTCCGTCACACAGCGCCTGCGGCGGCTCGGCGGCTCGGACTCACTGTCCGCGTGGTCCGTGGGGGCCATGTGAGAGGTGGCGCTGGCGTTCACTATGGTGTCGGCCGTCAGGTGGGAGAACTGGGCGAGGGCACGGAGCAGGCTGCCCCCGTCTGAGGACAGAAAGCACAGCCGGCGGTCACCATCACGCTCTTTACACAGCAACTGCAGGAAACTGATAGCGCCATCTAGTGTTGGAAAACATACTGCTCCTTTTACCAATATCGGTACCTGTGCTTGGAAATATTGCCATTACTGGACAGAACACCGTTATGGCAGTTTTTGGGATGCCATTGTTTCAGGAAATATGATATTAGGAAAAGAAGTAGGTTTTTCAAAACGGAACTGGAAAGAAAAGGCAGTACACATCTAGATGATCAATGTGAATGACAGGATTTTCATACAGTAACGCAAAGCAAGTTGGATATTTCTGCCTGTATTATTTTACTATATTATGTCAAGCCATTAGGGCAGGTGAGAGCATGCACCTTTTTCTCCATCTGCCAATCATGTGTATATTGCTTTCGTTCATTCATTATGACAGCTCCTGCCTCACCACCCATATAATTGAACTTAATCCAGCTTTAGAGCTGTGTCAGGAGTGCAGGGGGGAGAGTGCACCTGTTCAGGAGCCTTACCTGCCATATTCTTCAAGTAGTCCGCGTGGCCCTGCTTCATATTGTCAATGGCGCCCAGCGTAGCCTCTGCCCGGCTGATGAGGTAATCTGCAGAGCAGAGAGAGACAGACGCATGCAGAGAACCATCGAGGGGATGTGCAGTTACAGTATGTCTAAACAGAGGGAGATTATTACAATACTTGGGCTATTGTCAGTGACACTGATATGGGCAAGGCTGACAACACTGTGAGCATGACGTTTTTCGACTTCTCCAGTGCCTTCAATACTATCCAGCCCCTACTGCTACGAAGGAAGCTGGAGGAGATGCAAGTGGGTGCCTCCATGATCTGAACGTTGTTGTATTATTGTATTATTTTATTACACCGTGCTGTGTTGACTGTGCTAAGCTGCTGTTGCACTGCAATTTCCCTCACAGGATCAATAAAGTATCTAACTGACTTCCCAGCAACTGCCTCTGCTCTGTGCTGATGGAGCACGTTATGCTGATAGAGCTCACTGGTACCGGAGCCCAGTGAGTGCCAGGGCAGCTGTGTGGTTACCTGGGGAACTGGTGCAGCGGACGTGCAGGGGGTCGTCCAGCTTGGCCACAGCATCCTGGATGATGTTTTCAGCCTCAGCCACTGCACCCTGCAGCAGACTGAACTGCTCCTCCAGCATCTGCTGCTTCAGCTGCTCCTCTCTGCTCAGCTGGAACAGGCGTGCACACATACACACAGAACCGTGAGCGCTCAGCCCGTCTGCTTCCTGCCCTGCGCGGGTTTTCGACCCACGCCCACCGAGCGCATTTCACCGCTCGGAAAATGGATCAGATTAAAAAGGTAGAAAGCACCAGGCTACATCCAGAAACCCAGTGCTTCCAGTCCACTGCTGGGAACCAGACACTGGGGAGAGGGGAAAAACAGAGCCCAGCCCCATCAGATTGAGAAAAAGCAGTGAAATTCCCTAAATCGCTCCTCACCTTGAAGTATTGTTTGATACCTATGGGTGGCACTCATGCTCTTTCTAGGGGATACGGGGTGGTACCGGTACAGTGGCGGCGTGTGGTGCCCACCTTCTCCCGCAGTTTGCCCTGCAGCTCGCCCATCTCCCTGGAGGTCTTCTCGCGCTGCTGCTGGAGACTGGCCTCCTGCGTCTGCAGGGAGGTCCTCAGGGTGGCCAGCTCGGCCTCGCGCTCGCTCACTCTCCGCGCCAGCACCTCCTTCTCCGCCTGCAGCCCCTCCAGCGTGCCGCTCAGCTTCTCCCCCGCCTGCCAAACACACAGCAGCTTTGTGACTGGCGAAGCACCCGGCCACCTGGTCACTATCAGACAGGAGCGCAGGGCAGGGCAGGAGAACACATCTCGGCTTCATTGCTCAGTGTGCTGAGGATTCATTTAATCACTCGTTCAAGGAGGTGGCGTTCCTAGGATCTGTCTAGAAACCGATAGGAAGGTCAAGTAATATCTATCAATCTTGCATAACGTGGTTGTTGTGATGCAGATGTATAAAGCTCTAACTGCAAACTTTAAACAATGCAATTAATACACGCACCTCTTCAAGTCCAGTAAGGACATGACGAATAAGGGTTTTGAGGAGATCAGGCCAATGAGTTTAATGACAGCCTTGCTTTACCATACAAAATACCAAACATACCAATTACCAAACACTCTGGCTTTACAATACCAAAACACACATCAGAGTAACTCATCTTTCAACTGCTCTGATGCAGTCCAGTATAGAATTTCGCAACAGTCGGCGTCTTATTTTATTGCTTATAAGAAGGATTAATGTGACAATAAAGGCGCTGTTAATATCAAAGTGTAAAGCAATGTAGTGGTTCAGAGGAACTGCAAGTTGAGGAGCCCTGTAAATTAGTTTTTTTGCCAAATACATGACAGTGAGTCTAAAATATGAGTAAAGAAAACAGCTAAAACCTGCTACAACTTGCTTGTTTACACTCTTTACCATGAAAACTAAGAGCTGTAACAATATAGTTATATTCAAATTACTTGAAAGGTGGTACTACCTTAGATTACTAATGAACTGTTTAATAATGTGCTTTATTTCTAATAAATTCACATTCCTTCAAATTCTGTCTGTGACACCCCAAGCCCAAATGAATTAAACCTTTCCTCTAGAGTGCAGCAGAAGATTAGATCAAGTCGCACACTTCAACACTTTCTTCTCCACGTTCGTCTTTGCCCGAGCCTCAGAAGAGCTCGACAGGAAGCCGTACCTTCTCGTTACTCAGCAGGGTGTTCTGAACGCGCAGCAGCTCCGTCTTCCTCTCCCCCAGTTCTCGCTTCAGCTTCTCCATGTCGAACTTCTGCTCCTCCAGCTGCAGGGGGCGAAAACCGAACTGATGAATTTCCAGTCCGTTCACGAGCCGGCTTCGGCGCGAGGACAGAAGCTGAGCTCAGGTCAGACAGGGGCGGGAGTGTGGGGCAGCGGTCGGCAATGAGTTCTGTACTCATAACTGGAAGGCTGTGGGTTCAAATCCCAAGTGAGACGCTACTTAATGTCACCTGAGCCCCTGAACAAGATGCTTTGCCCTCACCGGTATAAATGTACATTGCTTTGGATAAAGGCGTCAAGCCAGTCAGCAAAGGTTTAACAGTCAACAGTATTTTCCTCGTTTCTGGCGGACTGCGGATGGCCTCAAGTGGCAGTACCTTCATCTCAGCCTCCTGCTTGATGCGCTCCATCTCAAAGGTCAGCTGCTGCTTGGTCCTGGCCACCTCCTCCTGGGTCTGCTGTGTGGCCGACAGCATCTTCACTGTGTCCGCACTCTGCACGCCAGAGACATGACACACCTCAATGGGTGACAGATGGGGCACTAACCAACACACTTACTATCCCCTGTCTGCTCTACTATTTTCATTACTGAAAAAAACCCAACAAAAAACACCAAAATACCGTTTCCGTGAAGAACAGCTCAGACTTTTATGTCTCTGTTTCATAACTTTATCGTCTCCTGAGTCCATCCACTGCTCTAAAATGACTGAAGCAAAAAAGGATTCCTGCTGATCAGTCAAGTTTCACATCGATTGGCCCATTTTATGACCTATCCATTTCTCAGAACATTACTGACATCCATACTATATGAACACAGAAATTAAAAGAGACATGACTATTTAATTTGACAAGCCTGACTCGTCCCAATCATTGTGATTTCTTTCTGGGATATTAAAATGAAGGAGATGCACTGGATAAAGAAGCATATGTCCCCAAGTCACACAGCTGCAGGATTGTGCTGCGCTCACGTTACCTTCCTGAGGAGCTCAGCGTGGCTGGACACCAGCTCGGCATGCTTCTCCTTCAGTTTGGTGTAGCGCAGCTCTGTAGCCTGCGCTCGTTCTGCAAGGACAGGAAGGAGACTGGGTAGAACTGAGGTGCTGATCAGTCTTTGTGCTCTGTGCCTTTCTTCCATAATTAATCTATGAATATGTGCATGAGAAAGACAGGCAGCATGGCCACCAGCAGGTATTATGAAGAGTAATGAAAGCATTCTGTGTGCTTGTGCAAGAGTGGACAGTTGTTTGTATATACTTCGAAACTCAGGAGGCTGTAAAAGTTTTTAAAACTTGACTGCTTTCTTTCATGTTTTAGCATTTCGATTTTATTTTTGCCTGCTTTTTAAAATTATTTATTTTCTTCCTATTGCCATTTATGTACACCACCTCAAGCTACAAGGGATAAAAAAGCACCATAATTCGATCTGACACGTCATGGCATGCGCGTGTTTTGAAACAATTTGCACGCGTGTGACTGGGAGTCACTGGAAACATCTGTGTGCCTGATTTTTCCCCCATTTCGGACCACACAGATTGCCGATGTGCGTGATGTGTGCAAATGTTGCTATGAATCGGGCCTGTGCGGTGTGCGCTGAGGTGCTCACTCTCGGCCTCCACGTAGCTGACTTGCACAGTCTCGCTCTCCGCCTTCTGCCTCCTCAGGCTCTCCAGCTCCATGCGCAGCTGCTCGTTCTCCACCAGGGCGCGCTGTTTCTGCACCCGCTGCTCCTCCAGCTCTGCCTCCAGGCTGTTGATCTGGGACTTCAGCTGGGTAATGTACCGCTGGGCCTGAGGAAGATGGGAACCAATTAGTCCACTGCACATTCTTTCACTCCGAGATCCCCAAAGTTAGCAAGGACCTCTGAACCTCATTCCCAACCCACGATTCCCAATCTCACTGTTGTGATTCCCTATGGATGTCAGAGAGGAACAGAGTCCTTCAACTGACTTGAATCGGGAACCTAGTAGTAAAAGGAAGGCTTAACTAATTTTAAATTGGATCTCATCTGCAAATGAGCCATCAATGAAATTGGGATTTGTATACAATAATATAGTGTTACAAAATGTACCCAAGGGGTAGGTTATAATTCAAGGCATGTGAGAAATGGCACAAGTTCTTGATATCCTCTGGCACTGATTTGGTTTAAGAGTAATAAACCAAGGCACACTTCATCAAGTAAATGTACAATCAAGTAAAAAAAAAACACAATGTATAACATGACAGAAGACTTTAAATGCTATCATGCACAAACCAATGCCTTTGAGAGGTCTACTGTACTTTCTGGAGATCCACAAACCTAGAGTGCGAGCTATGCAACACCGTACAGGCCATAAAGAGAACATCCATCCTACTTAAAAGAACTGGTCCCAGTGCTACATCTGCCATCTTACAACATAAGATGTCCAAAGGTGAATGGGAATCAATCTCCATATTCTAAAGACACATCCTCAAACTAGTAGAGAACATTTCTGGTCTGTGGATTCCACAATAAAGGAAATCACAATCAAAATAAAAAATAAACAGGGCATCAAGCTCTCTGTAACTACATTCAAATTGTCTGAATAAGGCCCTAAGAACTGCAAATGGTCTAGATTGTGTAGTCCAGCTCATGGACACCTGGATAGAACCAACACCATGTAAGCACCAAAGAATCCATGCTTGGCATCAGTAGAAAGAGTAGCTCAATTAATGCAAGACCCTGCATAATAAACATAGTAACAGAGTTACTTCTACAGGTATCAAATTCCCTGATCCCTAGTTAAACATCTCTCACTTCACCTCAGCTTTGATCTTCTCCAGTTCGGCTCTCAACAGCTCGATCTCTCGCTTGAGGTTGTCTATCTGGACGTCCCTGTGCACCAACCAACACAAAACATTCATTATTCTTCATTTAGTTTGTATGTCGTCCCTCTGTAGTTAATGTAAGTTCCATTTTGCTTTGTAGTAAGGAATACTGGTCTTCTTTTTCTAAATAAATGCTCATTTTCCCAGGACTAGACTTAATTCAAAGGTTGAATAAGGGTGTTCAGAGACAAAAGATCAGTTCACCTAACACAAAGAGCTTTCTTCGCCAAACAAGCACTAGGGGGAGGTCTAACCACATTTTTCCAAGTTTGCCAGATACCACAGCAGTTCTGTTATCGTTGCATTTTAATATATTCATTGCTTAATTATACATTTTATCAAGTGGCAGCTAAATAAAGGGAAATTAAAGATCCTCACCTGTCATCAAATCCACCATTAGGAGGGCCAAATGTTTGATCAAATATATCAAGCAGCTGAAAAAAATTAAGCCAAATTAAGACAAATGTGAGATCAATGATACTTAATATGGGTACAACAGAAAAAGACACACCCTGCCCTTGTTCGTTTTTCTTAAGTCCCAGATTTTGTGATAAAGACACTCCAGCAGGCCTTAGTTTAATTAGGGGTCCAAGAGGAAACTTAATCACTTTGCTGTGACGCAATTTCAAATTGCTTTTAAGAGGAAATGATTAGTATTACTTTCCCTCTTAATAATAGAGCCAGCAGCTATATTACCCTGCAGCTCACAAACAACAACCCATCTCAGCAGGTGCAAGTCTAGCCCATACCTGGATGGGAGACCTCCTGGGAAAGATAAGGTTGCTGCTGGAAGAGGTTTTAGTGGCACCTGTAGGGAGCACTCACCTACAGTACTATTAAAAAGTACCACCTGGCCTTTACCAACCATGGCCTCCTAATAATCCCCATCTCTGAACTGCCTTCATCACTCTGCGCTCCTCCCCACTGAGAGCTGGTGTGTGGGGAGCGGACTGGCACACTTTGGCTGTCGTCGCGTCAGCCAGGTGGAACCGATGAATTTTTGAACAGTTTCTCCCAGCTGGTTAATTTTAAAAATCCATTACAGTTACAGTGCTAGTTGTTTGTGTAAAGGGTTGTTTGTACAAGGGATGACTCGGGGGGCTCCTTACCCGAGGCTGAGCCTGCGCCAGTGGCGTCTGCTGGGCGGGCTGGACCGGCTCGGCCATCTCGATCAGCGGCTCGGGGTCTTCATCCTCAGGGTCCTCCTCCGGGATGACCACCACCGGCTTCACGTGCTCTGCCAGGGCGGAGGCCCGCAGGAAGTTGGGTGGGTGCTGCGCCCGGAAAAACCGAGGTTAGGGCGAGACAGGGAGAGAGCGGAGGGGCAGGGGAAGGGAAAAAGAGAAACACAGGCAGGAGGCTGATGAGAAACTCATCAGGGCGTATGCCCTCGCTGAAAATGACACACCTCAGCAATTTCAAAAGCTCCTGTGAGGTGTAAATGCAGAACACTAAAGTCACAATGATTATTTTCGATTATTCGGAGGAAGGAATACTAGGAGCTCACAGAAATTCACGCAATGCTACTCGACCCGTGTAAAATGTTTAATTAGGGACGCTGTTCTGGAGACTGCGCTCTGTGCTTCCTTGTCCTGTGCCCTGTCCGCCCCACCCTCCTCTCCCTCAGCGTGCCACTAGCTGAACCCCCTCCTCTTACATCAGGCAGCTTGGGGATCTGGATGAGTCTCTTGAAGTAAAGCATGTCCCTGGCTCGATTGAAGAAGTTCTTCAGGCTAAAACACAAAAACAGGCAGGATTGAGTAAATCTGACTCAACACGGCCTTCGCTTTTGAGTTTCGGACCTAATTTTCTGGTTCTGAAGCTCATCCCTACAGACACTCATTGCTCTGCCCCTCCCCTGCATGCTTGCCCAAAGTGTTCAGTGCAAATAGTAGCATGTTATGTAAAATTCATGCTCCAACTGTAGTTGGCTAAGTTTCAACACAGTGACCCATTTGAAGAAGGAATTCTATTTATATAAAATGAAAGCGATTGGCATGACTATTAGATGAAAACGTTTTACAGCAACTCAATGCTGTCCTTCTACATTGGGGGGGGGTAAGGATTTTCACTTCCTTACTTAAAATGATTTTCAAAGCTGATAGAGCTGGGAAAGGGAATTTGCATCTATTTAGGTGAAGCAGGAATGCTGTCATGACAGGTACCATGCCTTCTGTGTCTAATTATAGATCTTGCTAAAACATTAATGGAGCGAAGTGTAGTCACCTGTGGAACTGGTCATGAAAGCGGTCTCTGTGGCCTTGAAGGGTGTCTGCAGGCAAACCTATAAGGGGCATCGGAAAAATCAGGAATAAAAGGATCTCTATACTCTTCATAACAGACTATGCTATTTTTAATTAAGAATGATTAATAGCTATCATAGCCATCAATCATAATCGTTGTAAATACTGCTACTTCCATTGGCCTTCCACGCAACTAGATGTCATGCAATTATAGCAGTGTTTATAAAATCTTTCTTCTTGCCATTCAAAAAACAAAAACAGAATGCCCTCTAAAAATATATAAAGCACAACTCTTCTGTGCAAAAAATGCAATGCCTGATTTACTGGATACAAAGTTTTAGACAGTAAGTTGCTTTAGAACACAAGTTGTTCTTGTCCAATGATCTGCAAAAGAAATTCAAACGGTAATTAAAAAAACCTCTTTGCGAGAAGGCTGGGCTTTGCAGGGTGCGCTCGAAGGGAAGCTGATGCAAACACGAGACAAACGTGTGGTGTGTGGTCTGAGATGGGGAGTACCGTCTGGGTCCAGAACTTACAGGCATGGAGCTTGAAGAGCAGTTTGACACTGAAGTGGTACAGGTGGCTGCAGTCCTGGATGACCTGGATCAGGGGGGACAAACGGCACTGGCCTGATGTAGTTGTGGAAATTGCTATGGATGTGTTGAGCTGCCTGAAAACTGGAAGGAGGCGGGAGACAGAAGCACACAGACACAAGACGCCATGTTAGGTCAAGGAAGAAAACACCACCACGGAACTGACCAAGAAACAGGACAGAGACACATACATTTTAAGTCAACTGGTCAACCTAAAAAGTGAGCTCTGACCTCCATTTTGACTAGACACATAACCTGTCTGAGGAGTATACCAATTACATAAGTTGCGCAAACCCAAAATTAGCAGGCTGGGATGCCTGGCTTCTGTCCACCTACATATTAACCTTTGAGTTAGGTTTATCGCTCTGTTGACAGCTTTTTTTTCTGAATGCACTAATTAAAAAATAAGTCCCATTAAATGCTATTGGATTCAATACTGTTTTCCAAATATTTGTTCACTAAGATGTTGTTTTGTACATTTTCTATAAGAGCAAAGACACTGAAAACAACAAGGTTTTGAAAACTGAAAAAAAATGGATCACGTGACCCAGTGTCAGCAAACAAATCCCCTGGCAGAAACCTGACAGCAAACCCACTCACATTCCTGAGGTCTGACCAAACCTGCCAAAAGTAGTAAATGAGCAGAGATCAGTGAATGCCCATGGAGCACTGTCAGTATAATGTGCTTTAAATGCCCAATGGCACATTGCAGAAAGAACTCGTACTTGAAATGTTGAGTATTAAAGTGAATCCTTCTCTGCTCATAAAATCACCTGTGAATTACTAAGCCTCTTTATAATTAATTATATTAATTGAGAATTCCAGTAACATAAATAATTCATAGGATAGTTTCTAATCATAAGGTGACTGAAATTGAGTCAGATACTATAAATATACTAGACTTGTTTGTCTTGTTTTTTCATTTATCCGTAACAATAATTTTGCCCTTTGAATTTCAAGGCCTAAAATCCAGTCCAAGTATGCAAGATTCACACTGTCAGACTGCTTCTTTTTATGTTCTATCTCCACATTACTGTCTGAAAAACAGCTGACCTTTATTTTTCAAAACTGAAGGTAAAAAAAACCTTAAATTTAGAAAGAAGCAACATAGGCTCGAAATTCCAGCTGCATAATACTCTCTTTCCTAAAGCACAAAAACTGAACTGAGCAGTAAAGCTCTGGTCACAGCACTGCGACAGGGCCCAGGAGCCTGGTCAGGCCAGCGTGTCACTGTGACAAGAGCTGCACTGTGCGCCCAGAGACTTCAAAACAAGTCAGCACCTGTGGGCTGTGACCACAGCCCTGAGCTCCACCTCTCCTGCCACTGGTCATGTCAAAAGGCTGCTATAATAACATCGCAAATTGCTGGCAATTCCAAGATATCGCAAGGAGAATGCAAGAGGAAAGAGCAATGCTTTGCACTTTCAACTATTTATATCGATGAGGAACGAGGTGTTTAAAATAGACAAGAGGACGTGTGTCGGTGGGTCTTTTCACACAGATCTGTTGTGTGCTGTACACCACCCCAGCCAGTGCTTCAGATGTGTTTATTTAAAAACGAATGACATTTGATCCACCCTCATGCCCAGCCCTGCAGGGCAGTGTAACCTGACGATACTGTTCTAAAACAAAACCACCCGCGCTTATGAGGAGCTCTGTGTGTCTATCAACTGAAAGCCTCACTCATTAAAGTCATGGGACAAACTGTCATGAAATAACTCATTTCCAAGAATTTAGCCTTTTATCACATTTATATGACTTATTAGTATATTATTGTATTCATCAGTTATTTGGCCCAACTAATAAAAATTAAAGGGCTGGTGTATTAAACATACAATTTAGTGTATACAATTATTCCTTGGATCTGAAACAAAGTCCTAAGGCTTGGCCAAAAATAGAAACAAAACATAGACATAACATAACATAACATGCCACAGTGTTTTATACAAATGCTGCTAACATGTTTTCTACACCCATGTCTGCTTATTGGGCTCCTTATTCAATGCCTCAGGAGCACACGTGAGATGCCTCCTCACCTGTCTCGGCCAGCTTCAGCTCACAGTCAAGGTAGTCAAACACCTCCACAGTCAGCTGGAAACTAGGGGAGAGGGAACAGGAATCAGTTCAGAATCCGCACTCAAACCGGTTTTTTTCTTTCCTCTTGCGAAATGAGAATCAAAGGGTACCCTGAATGTGCATCTTCTGACTAGATTCCCAAACCTCCAAGTATTTCGGCAGTTCCCGTCTCCAAAAAAACAACAGTTTTACTGGTAGTTAATTTGTTCTTCAAGCCACAGTAAAGAGAAAAAATTTCACCCCCAGTTTTTTTCTCAAAATAAATGAAAAAAAAAACTTTCCAGCCAAGACCACAGCCTGAGGTCTCTGCATGATGTGCAAGCTTCACGGCTTTTTCACTCTCGTAGTTGATCATTTTTCTATCTCTCCGTGCCATACGTTGTGTACAATAACTAGCAGAGTACAATAAGCAGCGGAGCATTTCAAAGTACTTGTTATGCAAACGAGACGCTGAAAATAGCAGTAATTGCCGCTGTGCTGCACATATTCTACATCAATCAATCAATCCTGTGCAACAGGACAGAGCAGGGAAAGGACTTTCACAGGTGTCTGCTTGTCTCCTAGGTAGAAGCCAATTTTGTTGCACAAATAAATGCCGATTTGAAAAACAGTTTTTGGAGGGTCGAACTGGGGTTTTAAACTGGTGTCACCCAGACACTCAGAGCTTGTAGCCTCAAGAGTTCAAAAAAATGTTTAAAAAAATTAAAATAAAGATCAGTAGCAGAACCACAGTGGTATCGTACAGTATGTGTGTAGAGGGTTGTCATCGTGTGGGAGTTTGTGTTTTATTTGTATGAGAGAGAGGTTAAAGAGAAAAAACGGTCTGGTTAACCCTGCAACAGCGGTGAACTCTGTCCGGTATGAGATAAAAAAACCTGCCGACCAGCACGTCAGGGGAGAACCAGGCCTTTCTGGAAATTTAAGGGGGTTACATCACCACACAGGGCTCATTGCCAAGGAGCTCTGGCAATACAGTGGTATGATATCCAATTGAAGATGAGGGTGCCTTGTGCATGTGGTGTCTGTCTCCTCCATCGTGCCCTGGGAACCCCGATTTCCTCCCACTCCCCGAAGACCCGCAGGGCCGTACACTGCCCCTTGTCCTGCTGGCCACGAGGCCGGAGATAAAAATAAACTCAATGGGCGTTCTGCTGCAGGAGCTACTGCTACTTTGAGGGTCAAACCAGAGAGAGGGCGCTCTGCAAGGTGCTGGGGAGCCCCCATGCCCTGAAATCACAACGCAACCCACAACACTGGCCGTGCCCCCTGTCCCTCCCCCCCCCCGGCGAGCGCACCCATCTTCCACTCACACATTGTTGACATCAGTGCCCGCGGTCCTTTCCAGCAACTCGTCCGACGCCTCCAGATTGGGTTGAATTTCTGAATGCTGTGAAGAGAAGAAATGAAATATCGCCCTAGTCAGCAAACAAATAAAACATCCCTATATTGTTGACTTAAAAAAAAAAAACTTCTTTAGCTTCCCAAAGCAGTTTGTTTTAAAATGATATGCTAAGTATAAGGTTTTATGAGCTAAACCCAGGTTAAGGGAGATGCCTTTATTTGTTTGCATTCCATCCAAACGTTTGATGCGCAAGATGCAGATCCAAGCTTTGGGCTTTGTTTCTCTTACACAGCCTGCAGCTCATCTGGGCTTGGCAGAGCTGGACAGTGTCAGGAGGTGGTTCCCAGCACAGAACTCTACCTATTCAATTATATCAGAAGGGCAAAGTTTGCAGATGCTGTAATGTACAGTAAGAATGGATGTCTCAAACACACAAGACTTTGAGGGGACTTGACACAAGTATTCGAAATTCTCAAAGAGGTTGACAAGGTCAACCTGGAGGACTTGTTCAAAATGAACAGTGAAACATAAACAAGAGGACACAAGTGGAAACAATGCGGAAGTGCTTTTAAAAGAGAGAAAGGGAAGAGAGAAAAGGGGGCACTTCTTTACCCAGAGGGTTGTGGGAGTGTGGAACAAGCTACCCAGCCTTGTGGCTAAAGCTGATACTTTTTTTTTACTTCCGTGAAGAAACAGCTGGACGAGTCAATTAACTCAATGAATGAATTAACCCTTGAATTAATTAACCAGTATCTATCGAACGGCCTAGAAGGACTGTATGCCTTCCCCTCATTTGTAACCTTTCTTCTGTTTGCTTGTTATCCATTTGGGGTGGAAAAGGGGATTCCAGTAAAACAAAAGCAGATAACAAATCTGCTAGAAAATGTAGAAAAAGAAGAAAAGAATGAATGTCTGGAAGATAGATAAATTGTACAACTGTTCTCAGACCTAGGTGCACTTACTGCTAAAGAATGTCACTGTCACATATGCTTAAAGCTGAACAAGTCTTTGAAGATTAGCAATTCAAATGAGAATCTCTAAATTTTATGCAACAGAGACCTGATTCTAAATTAAAACAGCATTATCTAACAAAACTGTGACATCCTTTTCATAAAGCTGTCTTTTCCAGATTTAAACACAATAATGCAATACAAATCAAATCTACAACAGATAGAACTAGTCTAGTATCTCCAGAGCTGGGTAATAATGAATGCTTGGGTCAAGTCCTGCTCTAAGAGTGCCTCAATACCAGGCCATGAGGTCCAGTGTGTAATTTTTGCAGATTTTGCAGGATTGTACCACAGTCAATATTCTGAACACAAACTACACAGGAAAAAAAAACACATTCAAAGTACATGCAAGCAGAAACATGATACTTCACTCTGAGCTAGACAAACCTACCTTTGTATGGAAATCCATCTTCGTACACAGAAGCTTGGAATAAAGTGCGACAAGTTGTCCATATCGATCATGCAAGTTCCCCTTGGAAGAAAGCGAGAAATAATGTGAGGGAATAGTCTTCTTCACTTTAGTCCTAATGCTTGATTAACTACTAATCAAACCACTTCTGGGTTTTACAGAAAAAATACATTACAGCACTGACTGCATTTATGTTTATGACTAGCGATATATTATTAGCACGCATTAAAAATGTCCCAAGACACAACATGCATGGAATGAGTGGGAGAGGAAATTTCTCTCCACAGGAATATAATCATCAGGCCTTTTTACCTTGGCTTGACAGTAATGATTAACTTATCGCACGTACTGTACCTCAAGCAAGTAGCATGTCATGCCTGAATTACTTGCTGAAGCAGCCAAACTCATACCAATTTTATTTTTACTTGCTTTAAAATTTTTAATCACCAAGGTCTACTAGTGTGTGTGTGGGGGGGCATGGTAGCATAAAATTTAATATTGTTTCTTCACAATGGGTTCAATTCTGGCCTGGTGTGCTGTTTGTGGAGTTTGTACAGTATGTTCTGACTATGCTTCCTAACTCATTTTTTATGTTCCCATCTCTGCATCCATTTTTCTTTTTTATGCAACATGAATGCAGTTAAAATGCGGTTATAACTTTTTTCTTTTGATTTGCATCCGAAAGCAAATCAAGTATAAAAAAACACTTTCACTGGCAATGGTATCGTTATCTCTTATCTTGCTTGACACAATAAACCTGTAACACAATTTCCCTTTCAAGGCTATTTGTTATGCAAACGGGACACACAAATCTACTGCACCATCTTCCCATTCACCTCTCCATTCAGCTCCTGCCACCCCAGTTCTGCCACTGAGACAGCCAGTCAGCAGGAAACTCACCCACAAAGCTCCCGTCTCAGTGATGGTACTCCGGTGTCTCATGCAGTCCTGCAGGCTCTGAAAAGCAAATTCCCGCTGCAATCAGCCTCAGAACATGAGGGTGATGACATCCTACATGGCAGCTGCACTATCACCTTCGAGCCCAATTTCATCCGATCCCAGAAGCTCGGCAAGGCCAACAGCCAAGTTGTTGCTGCAAGTGGTGTTACTGGCCCAGGAAGTGGTCCTTTCCTATAGGTGTCAGTGAAGCTACGATTTCCTACATCTGTTTTAGGATCTCTCAGGATTAAAAGAACTGTGCAAAATGCAAGGAATTAACCAAAAAAGCTAAGCAAGTGAAAGAAAAACGGAGCACAGTACTAAATAAACAATATTCTTCGGCATAACAAGGGCATTACAGTATTATCGTCTGTATTGCAAATGAAAATAATTCTGGGTGTATAATTTTAAACTTAAACTATAAACTTCTGTCACTGAATTCAATCAGGTGTGATTAATCCCCACCAACTCAAGAGCCACTGTCCTGCCTGTTATGCAGAAGCCTTAACAACTGAACAAATACAGTGTGGCAGGATCTGGCAGTTGTCATTCTAAGTAACCCTTCCCTTCAATTAACCAATTAATTACAATCCTGAGGTATCTTCAGCCACTGACGGAAGGCAGCTGCACAACACGGAGGCTGAGGTTGGAAACTCCTGATGGGCACTACCATGCAGATGGCACGAAGGCGACGGCCCCACTCACGTTCAGGTGCCCATCTCGCAGGACTTTGTGCAGGACGTGGCAGAACTTCCAGCTCAGGATGGAGCTGCTGGGCAGGGGCAGGCCCAGGGCGTAGGACCAGAAGGTAAATGCCCCTTTCTCACGGTGGGTGCCAAGAATGATTCATGCACTTGTGTCAAGGAAGGACTTCGAAAAAAACAAGCAGGAGAACGTCTGCACCAACGCTGTATGAAAGCATGACCTCTGCACATTCCCTTCAGTTTCTCAGTCTGGTGTAACAGCATCCACCCCCCACCACCCTCCAAAAAAAGCAGACTAGGACACATGAAAATAGATGTCAAACTACACCTAAAACACAATGAATGTATTCGCCACAAAACTCTTTTCAATACAACCAAAACCCCCCAAAAAAGCATAGATGATCTGTATCTCGTTAATTTGAGGCATCAGGATTGTGAGTATTCATTAAACTAAATGGGTTAAAGTCAATTCTTCAGGTTCTTACTGGCTGCTGTAACAGTCGGAAACAGCGTGCGATTACAAGGTGCTCTTTGCTGCAGGGTTAACAAGAAACTAAGCTATTAAAAGAAACATGCATTTTTATCCTGTATAGACATCCTCTCCAAAAGAGACAACGAACTATCCCATATTACCAAGAAAGAGAATGTGGAAAACACAGTGGTGTCGTATTATTGTGTCAGAAGGCATTCTGTAAGAATTTATCCTAAAAGGAATGCACACAGTGCACTTCTAACACACAGTACATGGAATGATGCATGTTCTACGAATGCACACCACATACTGTAAATAACTTCATGTTATTTTTCTATGCTCCCCCTATCTCTAGTTAACATGATATTCATTTTAATGGCTACGGGCCAGAATTGCTCAGTATTCACAGTGTATTCTCCTGCAGTGACAATGTGTGAGGGGCCGAATGAGCAGAGCACGTCCCCATTGATTGTCTAGCAGCGTGCAGGAGCTGCGTGCGTCTGTCCAATGGTTGTGTGACGCGGAGTGAAACAGAGGATACTGCGTGCATGTTTCTCCTTCACCGGGGTCTCGCTGGTATTGATGGCTTTGCTGATGCTGGCCAACTGAAAGAGAAGGACAGAAAGGATCAGCGTCATTCACAGGGCCCCAGCACAGATCCTGCCAGACCGTTCAGCTGCTGAGTCAAGCAGTCCAGAAACTGGCTGCACAGATACTGTAGGTAGACAATGCAAATGTAAAGACAGAACAAATACAATTAATATACGTGTCTGGGGAATTGTTTAGATCATTGATTTAACATGTTATTTCTTTTCTTTTTTGGATACATCATAATGTTAAATTATTAAGTAACACATATTAATTTTTAACTGATAGGTATCAACAAGAGTACATTGAACAAAGCAAGAAAACCAGAATTTTGATAAAACATGTATTTGACTCAAGGAGTTGAGGCAGCATCACTGCTATAAATTTACAATATGATGTCACAGTGCTGGCCAAAGTCCCAGGCCGCGCTCAGTCAACCTGAAGTTGGCACAGAGCCCTTAAGACCACAACAGCAGACAAGAGCTCCTGAAATTGTGTGCTTTCTTAAAATGAAGGGAGGGCTGCCACCCTGGGCAACATGCCATCTCTGAAGAACGAATCATTCAGCCAGGAATCCTGGCCCTCTGGAGTTTCAGGTGAAAGCAGGGCCCAGACAAAATGGTTTTGAAAAGTCTCTTGTAACAAGAAAAAACACGTTCATCTACCAGGACTGTTCCCCATGTGTTAATAGACACGTAAAGGTGACGCATTAAAAACAGAATTCCACGCAACCCACCATGTCAGTCGTCAGCATAGACAAGATATTCTGAGAAATGTAAGAATATTTGAGAGCCCAGGAAAACTACTGCATTATCTAAAGAATTCTACATGCTTTCTGGAACACACAGCTCAAAATCTAAGAGCGAATTCTTCAATATATAGAACTATACTCTTCAACAGTTAATTTGTTTCCTCAAATACATTATTTTTCCCCTTTGAGGCAGTAGTTTCATTTTACTTCATGTTAACTAAACCAGAAGGGCGTCTGGCTGCTTGAACACAAAGTATTTCAGGTTTTCATGCATTAATTTAAAAGTTTAAATTTCATTCGTCTGCTCAACAGTAATTACATTTAAAAACAATTCTGAATTAATTTAATATTTGTGTACACAGTACATAATAAAGTTGGGTAAGTGGATTACCCCCGGACTGTGAAGCATACCAAGCCACTACTGTGAAAGGTTTCTCTTTCAGTCCAGTACCGCTCGCTGTGGGATATTCTGTTTCCCTTAACCTGAATAAAGAGGAGGCTCATTGTGACCACATAAAGGGGTGTGGACAGACCCCGTGGGACTCGTCCCCCTTCTCTCTGCATTCTTATCCGAGTGGGAAAACACCAAACAGGGAACACATGCCAGGACATATCCGTCACCTCCTGAGGGGGAGTACAGTATGTATCGTGTCGAGCAAACAAGAGGCGTTTCCCTACATACAGTAAAGAAAACTGCAGGAATGTCAACAAAGATTAACTGGAACATCAAACGCCAACAGGTTGTGTGTGGTAATATAATATATGATAATAATAATTTCAAATAATGACATTTAGTTTCACGTCTGTGCTGACTAAATGGATTCTAATCAATCATAAAAGGAAAGCTTTGGAAGAGTGTGGTAGTCTTTAAATGACTAACCTAATGGCCACAGGTGTATTTTATAATATTCTTTCTATATACAGTTGTATTTAAGCTCAATGATTGAAATCACATTTAAGTAGTCTGATTTAAGCCAAGAAAGCCAAACTCTATTGTCAACCTGTTTCCGGTCAATTAAAGGTTCACTATTCGCATCAGATGTAAGAGGGTGTAACTAACTAACTAAAAACGCCCTTTGATTTTTAATGACCACAGAGAGTAAGACCTTCACTCTCATCTGAAGGACGGCACTTTTTTACAGTGTAGTATCCCTGTCACGATACTGGGGTATTGACCCAGCATTGTGGGTGGGAGAGTACTTCAGTTGTAGTCCTAAATAATGTCTAAATGACATAATTTAACATATCCCGTTTAATAGATCACAATAATATTGTTCCACTTTATTAATCCACTGTTTCTATTATTAGAACTTCTGATTTCTTGATGACCTACAAACCCTGCTGGACTGGGGCTCTCCAGGACTATGCCCTATGGCATTGTGCTGTACGAAATAACTAAACATAGTCAGTCCCCTGATACAACAATGATGCACCAAAACAATGCACTGCTAACCCAGTGCAGCAGCTGACTGCTACAGCACAATTCAAGGAAGTCCGAAGAAACCGATTCCAAAGTTCCTTTCAGATGTTTCGCGAAGAGGTCAGCCACTCTGTGGGTGTTTGCTCTCTAATCCTAAAAATACAACATTGCTTATCAGGGCCCGCAGTGCAACAGGGAAAGGTGCCTTTTCACTGAAGTCCATTTATAGAAAGAGCAGTGCCAGAAGCATTACTTACACATTTAGGCACTTAAGTGACCAGCTGTATAGTCATTCTGTAATGTTATACAAAAACTGATCCATGGGTTATCATGGTAAGTGCATGTGTACTGCATGTTTACAGAAACGCCAACAAATAATGTTTTTTTATATGAACAAAGCTCACCTACACAAGAGGACAGCTGATTGATTTTCCCGGACTTTTCCCACCTCGCTATTCCCACCCCGAAATCAATCAAGGAACTTTACCATCCTCCTGTTTTTAAACACCTGGAAATGCCTCATTCTGTCCACCCCAAGCAATGATCTCATCTTGCAATAAACAATCAATATCTTCAAGACGAAACTCTCCGATTTTAATCCGAAAAGGGAAACAA